TATTGGACTTCACCAAAATTAAAAACTTTTGCTCTTCAAACATCGTGGCTGGTGTGTTGAGACCAGACTATAGGGAAGAATGGCAGAATAGGGGAGACTAATTAGGAGGCTTACTGTGATTGTGAGTGAGCAGTGATAGCGTCAGTGGGGGTGGTAAGGAATGTCTTACCATCTTAAAGGTGGAGAACACAGGATTTGCTGACGGATCCGAAGTAGGATGTTACAGAAAAAGAGCAGGGTCCCTCCAAGGATTTACTGAGATTGGGAAGAGCCGGTGTGGAGGAGGAAAGGCTGTGTTCTGAGAAGCCTATTTATTAGCCAGGTGTGGGTGTCCAGAAAGCTGCAGGGTGTAAGGTCTGGAGCTCAGGAGAAAAGTGAGGCTGGAGAAACACATTTGGGAGTCACCTGAAAGTTTCTTTCTCTCAGAGTCTATTGTTTACTCCATAAAATGGGAATAATAGTAGTACCTACTTTTTAAAGTGTATATTAAGGATAAAAATTAATGAAGAGTTTAAGCACAGAATAGATATTTAATTCTTGACGACTACTTGTTTTTACACTGACGCTTACTCATTCCACTGTGCTCGTGGCACAGTGACTCGGAGCGTGGTCTCTGCGGTGGACTCGTGGATTCCAGCCCTTACCTCGTTAGCTACCTGGGTGATGCATTCCTGTTTTCTTATCTGTAAAGTGGGTGTAACTATAACTATACACAGGGTTATTATGAAAACTAGCTGAGATAATCGAGCATCATTTACCTAGTAACCAATCAGTAATTTATCTATTAGCGCAAGAGGTTAGTCTTTTTAATTTTTTTTTCTTTTTAAGATTATTTATTTATTTGACAGAGAGATAGAAGCACAAGTACGCAGAGAGGGAGGCAGAAGGAGAAGCGGGCTTCCCGTTGAGCAAGGAGCCCAATATGGGACTCGATCCCAAGACCCTGGGATCATGACCTGAGCCGAAGGCAGCCGCTCAACTGACTGAGCCACCCAGGCGCCCCGCAAGAGGTTAGTCTTGAACAAAGAAGGCGTTCCTCTTCCGAGTACTCGGTCGCCTTTGCCTTCCTAAGCCCTCCCCACGGGTCCCGCTCCAACAAGAGCTCCCAGAGCGCCTCCCCACATCCACTCAGCCGCGGCTGCCCTGTCGCAGCTCACAGCGTCATTTCCCGACTTTGGAAGTCTGACTGAACTCCAGCGGGCATGGCGGGTCGACTTCATTTGTGAGCCCAGTGCCCAGTACCAGACGTTCAGTGAATCCGGAACACAGGCGGAAAGTTGCGCCAGTGCCGGCCTAGAGCTTGGACCCGGACGCGCCGCCCGGCGCCTGAAGGCGGGCGGACTACAACTCCCAGCGGTCTGCGCGGCGCGTTGCTCCAACTGTCGGCGCGGCCGCCTGGGGCGAGGCCTATATAAGCCCCCTTCCAATACACGGACTTCCTTTTCCTTAGCCGGTGTGGTGCTGGCGTCTCTCTGTTGGGAGATCAAGGGCTGCCGCAGTTCACGTCCAGCCTCCTCTCACCCCGCCGTAGCTTCGCCGCCGCTGGCCCCGCACCCGCCGGGCCTGCCTCCGAGGCTGCGGGATGATGAGAGCGGATCGGAGCTGCCGGGCCTCCCGGCCTGCTGCGACCAACACCCGGAAGGCCTGGTCGGCCGCATGCGCGGTGAGAAGGACCGAAGCCCGCGGGGGCCGTACCTGAGCCTCCCGCCTCGGCCCGCGCATCGCTGCACCGTAGTGTGACGGGTGAGTGACGCGAACAGGCGGCTTGGTGCACGGCAGTCCTGGGCCTGAAGTGGCTTAATTTGCGAGACGCCGCGCGGTGGTGTCCACCAGATCTGAAACTGACTCTGCCTGTGAAAGCCACGTATTGGGTGACCTTGGGGAAGTGATTTCACCTGTCGTCTGGCTGCACAACACGTTAAGCAATCCATGCAGGTGGATAAAAGGGTAGGGTTTTCTGGGGGCCGCGTTTTAGAATCCTTTGGATTCTATTTTGAATCCCAGTTCTGTGGCTTTCTACGTTGATTGGCGACCTTAAGTAGATAGCTTAATTGGTCTAAACTTACCGGTAAAACGGATGATAAAATGGTCCTGTGAAGATGAACTGGGGTAAAACTCTGACACACAGTAAAATAAAGTGGTAATTGGGACCTGGTAATAGGATATCTGTTTTCGGCGCCTGACTGGCTCAGTTGGCTGAGCATGCGCCTCTTGATCTCAGGGTCTTGAGTTCCATCCCGGTGTCGGGCATAAGCTCAGTCTAAAAATATATATATAAAAGGTTATCTGTTTTCTTTAAGTAGGCTCCATGCCCAGCGTGGAGCCTAGTTCAGAGCTCTGGGTCGAACGCAGGACCATAAGGTCAAGACCTGTTCCGGGATAGAGTCTTGACTCTTAACCAACTGAGCCACCCAGGCGCCCCAATAGTATCTATTCTCTTATTTGGTCTCCAGTATATTTCAGTACATGAATTTCAGTTACGCAATAGTGCATGGCCTTTAGGTGAGTCTAGGGGGCTAGGTGGCATTTGGGGGCGGTCCTGGGACCTAAATTGCCCTGTGGCCCTTATCGAAGCTGCAGCTGCTTCCACATAGCTGCTGTGGTCAAAAAGGAGCCCAGAGTGACAGTTTTCCTTGACGGTCGCCGTTCTGTTTGCTGTAACTGATCTGCAACATTTCAGGAAAAGACAGTTGCCGTTGTACCTGCCATTTCTCAGGTATAGGTGGAGTCCTTTATTACAATTGACAGGTTTCCAGAGGCCAGCAGAAACGTTTGGTTAATGGGGTCTTTTTTTTAAGATTTTATTTGAGAGAGCAAGCACGAGCAGGGGGAGGGGCAGAGAGAGAAGCAGGCTCCTCACTGAGCAGGGAGCCGGATATCATGACCTGAGCCAAAGGCAGACGCTTAACTGACTGAGCCACCCAGGTGCCCGTTAATGGGGTCTTACATAGAGTTGCTAGAAAAAAACTTCGGAGAAGTAAATTGCTGAGACCAAGAACCAGTATGGTGGGGCAGGTGGAGTGGGGTAGACAGGTGTACTGGGAAAATCTATTGGCAAGTGGCACAGATCTCAGCAGTGCTGTGGGTCACTGCCCCGAAAAGCTTACGGCATAAGTACCAAAAGCCAGTCACACCTTTGATTATGAAGACCAACGGAAGGGAACAGTAAGATCATTCAGGACGTTTCTCTCATCTCAGCTGTACCAGACGAAGATTTCCAGGATGACTTTGGAGTGGAGCTTTTTGGTGAGGATTCTGGGGTCATGACGGTGATTGAACACAACCACCTTGGGACCTGGTAGGTTTCTGGGAACTACCCTGGCGGGTCGGTACAGCATGTTTCCAAGGGCTGTGGCCGGGTGTGGCCATGGGATCTCCAACTGCATGCGAGAGCAACCTGGAGAGACTTTGACAGCACAGGTCCACATAATACCTGCAGCTGCCACTCAACTTTCCTATAACAGCCCAGGACCTGGGTTGGAAGCCTTCTGCCCGAGTCCAGGTGTTTTCCATAAACTTCCATGAAGATGGGTATATTGGATGTATTTCTGGTTTAGAGCTTTCACACTTTTTTCTGCAGGTTGCCCCCACGTGTTCCTGTCAGTGTCTGCTACCGAAGAGTCTGAGGATACCAGGTTGTTGCTGTGCTTTATACAAGGTAAAGTTAGATGCTGGAGACAGCCTGACCCCTCCGGTTCCCTTTCCCATCGGATCTGAACGCTGGTCTTGGTGGTCGTAAAAGGAGGAAAAGGAACACTGAAGCTGGCCTCGTGGTGCTTATAGTCTGTTATGTAGACTGTGGGCTAGTTTCAAACAGGGTTTGAATTCTTTGACCTGGATTCCTTCTCTCCTCTAAAATCGGAGAATCTTAGGCTTAAAGGGAGGATGTATGTGAAGCTCCGAGCAGTTGTAGTGATTGCTGACTTAATAATGGCTTTCTTGGAGTGTCCATTTTGGTTTTTTTTTTTTTTTTTTTAGATCTGTTACCAGTAAAGCTGTCCTTGTCTGTGATTATGGATCTATAGATCTGTAGTTGGGTAAGTTGACTACCTGAAACTTCATAGCTTCCTTGCAGCTTCAAGTAGTGCTTGAGCCTTGTGAACCCTGAGTAGTGTAGTAGTGAATTGATATAAGGCTATTCAGGCCTCTGGGAAGTCTTAGCGTTTTCATATGTCATTTACACCTGACCTCCCTTGTATGCCGCATTAGCTGTTCATGGCCAGAAGAGAAAAATGTTTACAGTGTGACTGGAATCTTAGATTTGCCCACCCTGTTGGAAGGCCAAGAGCATACTGCTAGGAGAAGCTACCAGATGCCAAAGCCCTGCACCTTCGGTAGCAAGGGCTGATGGCTGTGAATGTTACAATTGTGGTTTGACCTCACGCTGACATTTTGGGAGACCTCAAACCTGGGGTGTCCCTTTCCTCGGAGTGTGGGAGATGGGTTGGGTAGAAACAAGTGTAGTTTAGTGTGGGACGTTTTTTAGGCTGACTGGTCCAGGATGAAACCTAATCTGAGTGGACATCTATGGATGATAAATGCGGATATGGGACTGAGACCAGCTCTTCAGAAAAAGCCTGGGTGGCATTAATTAATTGGGGGAATATTAACACACTGGCTTATACTTCCTTTTCAGGACAGAAACACTGGGAAGAGGCAAGCTGAAAGAACAGATTATTTTAGTGGAAAACCATGACCTTTGTATTTCTGCTATGGGTGCCACATGGCATATAAGTAACTAATAAAAGACTTGAAGTATGTTTGTGTCCGTTTTCTTGTTCCCCATTACAGTGTCGTCTTCATAAAGATAGGTTGACCTCTACAACTTCCACCATACATAATTTTTCCTCCCAAAGCCTGAAAATTCAGGCTGAGCCTAATACGTATTCCTTAAAATATCGGAAGGCTTCTTGTGACCTAGGCCATTTACCTCAAGTTGCCCCCATTGTCCCGCTCCCTGCCCCCTCCCCTCCCTGCAATTTCCTCTAGCACAACAGAGATAAGCTGCAGATTTTTAGTATAAATCCAGACTTTCCACATGGGTGCTGGAGATCATGGTAAGTGGATTCATACCTATCAAATGAAAATAATGTCAAGAAACCGGTGGGCCAGGCACACAGATGTCAAAATAGTGTCCCTCAATAGGGGCTTATTGAAGCTAGGCTTGCCCTTGGAGCATGCCCCCATCTTGAGCCCTTTGGTCTAGATTTAGCTGGTTCCATTACAGCCTACCACACATAGCCACAACACTTAAAAGCAAACTTGTTGGGGTGAAAGGATACTTGAATGGATGATTAACACTGCCCCCCCCGCCCCCAGTGGCATACAGCAGGTAACCCATGCACTCTGACCCCAGAGAACCTTAAGGATGCAGTGTCTGTCACCTGAGATGGCCCTCTGGGTTGAATTAAATCCTATGATCCACTTTGGTTAATAACCCCAAACTCTCCTTATCTCTAAAAGTGGATAACATCCCTACCTGGAAAAATTTACTTTTCAAGGACAAGTAGAACCTTGCTCAATGGCACTGTGGTTTTCAAACTCCGAAGGCTGACGGGCAAAGGAAGGCAGCAATGTTGCAGGAATGGTCATAATCTCAGAAGAGTTGATCACTAAAATCTTAACATTTCCAAAAAGGTAAAAGTTCTAATACTTTGTTAAAAAAAAGTCTCATCTCCATCACACAGTCCTTTTTGGCTGGTCCTCTGTCCCGACTACATCATGGCGGGGATCTCTGAAGATACTGTGTCCAGGGGCTGCCAGTGACAGTCCATCAAGGCATCATACAGCTCCTCACTCTGCTCCATGAACTCCTTGTTGGCCTCCGTCACATCCAACTGCGGCATGGGATCTACAAGAGAAGCCAGGGTGGGTTCAGAGCGCCAGGAGAAGCACCCAGAAACTTGGACTCCGTTCCCCACTCCCAGGGCTTCCTGCTTCTGGCATGTTCCCTGTGCTCTGTGTCAGAGTCCCTCAGGGCCGACACCACTGCCTTGCAGGGTTCCTTTAAGGATAAAAGTGGAGTCTACTTAGAAAACATCATACACAGGCTCAAATCATGGTGGCTGTTACTCCAGCTCTTCTCTAGACTTCATGGGCCCTGGCTGTCCTTGTGTGGTCCTTCCTTCGATTTTGGGTTATGGAAATCTGATCAAAAGGACTAAGTCCAGAGCACTATTCTTCAAAGGGAACATTACATAGAAATGAAAATCAGCCTCAGCTGCATACAACTTGGTTGGATCTCACAAATAGTGTTTTTGTTAACTTACCATGATGAGCACTGAGTAATGTAGAGAAGTGCTGAATCACTAGATTGGACAGCCGAAGCTAATATAACACTGTACGTTAACTATACCAGAATTTTATTTAAAGAAACGCTGAGCGGGCGCCTGGGTGGCTCAGTTGGTTAAGCAACTGCCTTCGGCTCAGGTCATGATCCTGGAGCCCCGGGATCGAGTCCCACATCGGGCTCCCTGCTTGGCAGGGAGTCTGCTTCTCCCTCTGACCCTCTTCCCTCTCGTGCTATCTCTCATTCTCTCTCTCAAATAAATAAAATCTTTAAAAAAAATAAAAATAAAAAAAAATAAAAGAAACGCTGAGTGTTGAATGAAAAAAGCAAGACAATATAGTACGACTGCATTGTCTGAAGCTAAAAAAACAGGCAAAATGAACATTATTTAAGGATGGATATCTCTAAAAAGAAGGAAGAAAGTAATTACCACAAAAATAAACACAGTAATTTCCCCTAGCAGGGTTGTAGGTTTTGACTGGGGGAAGGATAGCTTCTGGAGGCTGGCAATGTTCTACTTGATCTGAATAAAGGTTTCATGAGCAATTGCTTTATAATTACATAATAAACTATACACTTGTTTGACATACTTTTCTGTATATATTTCACAATAAAAAGTAAAAAAAAAAACTCCTTGATCACTGTAACATTGTATACTTTTCCTTGTAGTGTTGGTTTAAAATGCACACAAACACACCCGTTCATTAAAAACACTTATTTTACGGGCGCCTGGGTGGCTCAGTTGGTTGGGCGACTGCCTTCGGCTCAGGTCATGATCCTGGAGTCCCGGGATCGAGTCCCACATCGGGCTCCCTGCTCAGCGGGGAGTCTGCTTCTCCCTCTGACCCTCTTCCCTCTCGTGCTCTCTATCGCTCATTCTCTCTCTCTCAAATAAATAAATAAAATCTTTAAAAAAAAAAAAAAACACTTATTTTACAATTAGAGAAATTAAAGAGGACCTACAGAAATAGACATTCCGGTACCTGGATTGGAACATAATATTGCTTAAGATCGCAATACTCCCCAAATTGATCTACAGATTCAGTGTAATCCCTTTCACAATTAGTTGCCTTGTTTTGCAGAAATTGAGAAGCTGATCATAAAACTTAGATGGAAATGCAAAGGATTGAGAATAGAAAAAACAATCTTGAAAAAGCACAAAGTTCAAGGACTTCCCCGTTTCAAAACTTACTACAAAGCGACAGTAATAAAAACTGTGGCAGTGGCCTAAGGATAGACCTAGAGATCAGTGGAATAAGATTTAAGAGTCAAAAAAAAGGGGATGCTGGGTGGTTCAGTCTGTTAAGCGTCTGCCTTCGGCTCAGGTCATGGTCCCAGGTCCTGGAATTGAGCCCCGCATCAGGCTCCCTGCTCATCAGGGAGCCTGCTTCTCCCTCTGCCTGCTCTCTGCAAGCTCTCTCTGTGCTCTGACAAATCTTACCAAAAAAAAAAAAGACTTAAGAGTCCAAGCCCAACATACAGATTTATAGTAACTTGGTTTTCGACAAGGGTACCAGACAATTCAATGGTAAAAAACAGTTTTTCAACAAATGGTGCTGGGACAACTGGATAACCACAGACAAAAGAATAAAGCTAGATGGGACACCTGGGTGGCTCAGTTGTTAAGCGTCTGCCTTAGGCTTGGGTCATGGTCCCAGGGTCCTGGGGTCGAGCCCCGCATCGAGCTCCCCGCTCAGCGTGAAGCCTGCTTCTCCCTCTCCCACTCCCCCTGCTTGTGTTCCCTCTCTCGCTGTCACTCTGTCAAATTAGTAAATAAAATCTTAAAAAAAAAAATAAAGCCATACTCTTCACACTTTACACAAGAATTAACTAAATATGGATCAAAGACCTAAATGTAAGAGGTAAAACTGTAACTCTTAGAAGGAAAAAGGCACAAACAAGCAGTGCCTTTTAGATATGACACTATCCACAGAAATTAACTTTTGTGCTTCAAAGGACATTATCAAGAAAAGTGGAGAGGGGCGCCTGGGTGGCTCAGTCGTTAAATGTCTGCCTTCGGCTCAGGTCATGGTCCCACGGTCCTGGGATCAAGCCCCGCATCGGGCTCCCTGCTCGGTGGGAAGCCTGCTTCTCCCTCTCCCTCTCCCCCTGCTTGTGTTCCCTCTCTTGCTGTGTATCTCTGTGTCAAATAAATAAATAAAATCTTAAAAATAAAAAAAAAAGAGAAGTGGAGAGATAACTGATGGAATGGGATAATTTGTAAGTCATATGTCTGATAAGGGAGTGGTATCCAAAACAGAATAAAGAAACTCTTATAATGAAACAATAAAAAAAGACAACCCAATTTAAAAATGGACAAAGGACTTGAATAGACATTTCTCCAAAGATCTACATACACATGGCCAATAAACATACGAAAATGCTCAACATCCATTAGGCATCAGGAAGTGCGTATCAAAACCACAATGCACAATGTGGTACCACTTGAAAACCACTAGGATGGCCATAACGAAACAAAATAAGAACCACTGGTGAGGATGTGGAGAAACTGGAACCCTTGTATGCTATTGGTGGGAATGGAAAATGCTGCAGCCTTTTCGGAAAAGTTTGGTAGTTCCTCCAGGGGTTACATAGAGTCTGCCATATGATCCAGCAATTCCATTCCTAGGTAGAGTAATGAAAACTTATCTATGTCCACACAAAAACTTACACATGAATGCTCATAAGTAGTATATTCATAACACTAAAAGTGGAAACCCAAATGTCTATCAACAAAATGGATATCCACACAATAGAATATTGTTTGGCCATAAAAAGGAATGACGTACTGACACCTGCTACAACACTATGCGTAAGTGAAAGCAGCCATTCACAAAGGACTGCACATTATACACAATTCCATTTATTTAAAATACCCTGGGGCGCCTAGCTGGCTCAGGTAGAGCATGCAACTTGACTCTTAATCTCAGGGTGGTGAGTTCAAGCCCCACACTGGGAAAAGAAGAACTTAAAAAAAAAAAAAAAAAAAAAAGCCCAGACTAGGTAAATCCAGAGAGAAAGAAAGTAGATGAGTGGTTGTCAGGGGCTGGAAGGGGTTGGCGATGGACAGTGACTGCTGCTGGCTGCAGGAATCGGTGGTAATGGGTGCACAACTCTGTGACCATTCTAAAAACTACTGGACTGTATGTATACTTTAAAAGGGTGAAATCTGGGGGCGCCTGGGTGGCTCAGTGTTAAGCGTCTGTCTTTGGCTCGGGTCATGATTCCAGGGTCCTGGGATGGAGCCCCGCATTGGGCTCCCTGCTCAGCGGGAAGCCTGCTTCTCCCTCTCCCACTCCCCCTGCTTGTGTTCCCTCTCTCATTGTGTCTCTGTCAAATAAATAAAAATATTAAAAAAAAATTGAAAACCTTAAGGCCTTAAATTTAGTGAGGTTTCCCAAAGGAATTCTGCCTCAAGACTGTAACACAGAAATCCTGCCTGAGTTTCCAGCTTGCTGGCCAGCCTTACAGATTTATACATACTATATCCTACTGGTGATATAGTACAAATCACCTTTGATACAAATAGTATGTGTAAACTTTTATTCTTGTTTACTGCATGTGTGTTTCTTTTGTAAATTATTTCAAACTTTCTCACTACTTTTTTTTTTTTTTTTTTAAAGATTTTATTTATTTATTTGAGAGAGAGAGAATGAGAGACAGAGAGCACGAGAGGGAAGAGGGTCAGAGGGAGAAGCAGACTCCTCGCTGAGCAGGGAGCCCGATGCGGGACTCGATCCCGGGACTCCAGGATCATGACCTGAGCCGAAGGCAGTGGCTTAAGCAACTGAGCCACCCAGGCGCCCTCTCACTACTTTTAAGGGTCTGTTTCCTTTTCCAAACCAGTGCTAATCTTTTCACACAAGTCTTATGCCTGTTCCTGCAACCAGAAGGATCTTTTTTTCCCTTGGAATTTTAATCTAAAGGTTTGAGCATTTACAGAGGCTCCCTACGGAAACTGTAAGAAAGCATGACTGGCCTGGTTTCTCCACTCAGTGTAGGTAACAGCTTACAGGAACAGTTCAGTGAAGAGCTTGATCACAGGCAGGCATTTGTGTGAGCTGAAGCCTGTGGATACATATACAGTAGAGCCCCTTCCTCACTCTGAAGACAGGGTCTGAGCCATGGCTCACTGAAGCTGAGGAAGAGACGGAGAAGGGAGAAGGGCAAAGATCCCTACTGTGGTCCCTCTGGGTGGGTATTAGGTTGAACTGGGAGGCAGTGTTAAGTCAGCGTGAAAAAGCATTTATTCAGGGGTAAGACTGCAGGAGTTCCAAGAGTGACTTCATCTCCTGCTACCATGTTGCAATTTACAATATCATCGACCTTGAACAAGTAATTTGACCCCTTTACCTTGGTTTTTTTATTCTATAAAACCAGAATAAATTGTGGTACTTAGCTCAAAACAGTTGTGAAGGTAAATGCATTAATAGATGTAAAATGCTTAGAACGGGGCCTGTACATAGTAAAACCTCAGTAACTATTAGCTATTATCAACTCCATAAGCCTCAGTTTTCTTTTCTGTAGATTGGGGATTATAATGGTACAAACCCAGCATCATAGTGTTGAAAGGTAGCAGGACCTGGCACAAAATATGTTTGGTATTATTAATAGATGAGAAAGAGACTAGAAAATTCTAATTCTAAGGAGTTATATACACAGATACTATAATCAGGTTAACATTCTCTTAAAAAAAAAAAAAAAAAAAAAAAGGGCAGTATTCCCTGGAGGGCCCAGAGACTGAGTAGAGAAAGTCAGAGACTCCAGGCCTGACTTAGCCCCTAACTCACTGGGTGCACTTGTGTGGCCAGTTCCCCATATGTCAACCAGAGCCCCTGTGTTCTGCCCGGCCCACCCCCAAGGTCACTGCTGTTAGATTTATGATGACAGCATGTATGTACAAGTGCTTTATTATTATTTTACTTTTTATTACTTTTTATTTTTCTAAAGAGAACATGTGTGTGAGAGCAGAGGGGGGGTGGCAGGGAGTAGGGGTAGAGGGAGAATCTTAAGCAGGCTCCAGGCCCAGTGTGGAGCCCAATGGGACACAGGGCTCGATCTCATGACCCTGGGATCATGACCTGAGCCAAAATCAAGAGTCAGACGCTTAGCCGACTGAGCCACCCAGCCACCCAGGTGCTCCAAGATTTTTTAAGTAATCTCTATACCCCACATGGGACTCGAACTCACAACCCCAAGATCAAGAGTCACATGCTCCACTGTTGAGCCAGCCAGGTGCTCCTAAATTTTACTTCGACTTCTTTTTTTTTTTTTTAAGATTTATTTATTTGACAGAGACACAGCGAGGGAGGGAACATAAGCAGGGGGAGTGGGAGAGGGAAAAGCAGGCCTCCCGCCAAGCAGGGAGCCTGATGTGGGGCTCGACCCCAGGACCCTGGGACCATGACCCAAGCCGAAGGTAGATGCTTAACGACTGAGCCACCCAGGTGCCCCTAAATTTTACTTCTTTAAACCTTGCCATCTATTCAGAAATGTTTAAAAAAATTGTTTTTCATAGTATTTTCAAACCTTAAAAATCCTTTAAGTATTAATATACCATTTGAGAAATCATTTGTTTGAAGGTTAGCAATTCCTTCAGTTTTATTTTCCTTTTTCCTGTTAAATTCAGTAAAAATTAACAACAAATGCTTTTAATTAAAAAAAATTAATAACGGCTATTACTATGTAGCAGACTGGGGTGATTTTCAGTTTCTTCATAATATGTTACCATATTTTCCAAATTTTTTCTTTTTTTTTTAAGATTTTATTTATTTGACAGAGAGAGCAAGAAAGGGAATGACTCAGATGCTTAACGACTAAGCCACGCAGGCGCCCTTATGTTCCAAATTTTCAATCATACCTATTACTTGAGCATGAGGAAAAAAGGTAATTTAAAATATATAGGAAAAAATTAAAATGAGATAAAAAATGAATCTTACAAACTATCAAACATACACAAGGCAAGAGTTTTGCTGGAGACCTGCATGTGGGGGTTGAATGTCCCAGGTCTCTCCCCTGTTGCGCCGCTTCCTCTGGGCTCGCTGGGACTGCACGCACACCTCTGGGGCACGCGCTCACTTCTCACTGTAATTATGCATGCATAATCTCTAGTGAGCTCTCTCACTAGAAGGCAATTTCCTCCAGAGCAAAATCCACCTTGCATTCCTCAGCATCTAGCTAAGGAACAGTGCCCGCCACAGAGCAGTCACCTGACAGAGGACAGAGGAATGAGTGAACAAACTTCTTTCTTACCTTCCAATGCATCATCCCCAACTTCTTCATATGTCTGCCAAGAGACCAAAGAGAGAGAGAGAGAGGCAGCGTGAACTCCTGGCCCAAGATAAGGAGGCCTTATTTTTAGCAAATAGGTTGCTTCATCTTTCCCCATTTTCTTCTGAAGCCTGTGCTTAGCTTACCAACGGCACGCCGGTGAATGAGCTAAGGCGAGGCCTGGTTGGCCCGCGATTACCTGCATGGAGCTCTGCGCGATGCCATGCCGGCGGGCGGGTGGTTACCTGCATGGCGCTCTGCGTGTAGCCGTACTGGGGGTAGCTGTAGCTGTAGCTGCCCGTGTTCTGGTCATAGCCCCACTGGGCATAGTAGGTCTGGTACTGCTGGTAATACTGGTTGTAGCTGTAACTGTACATCTGACTATACTCCACTGGCTTCACTCGGCTCCTTAGACGAAGAAAGAAGCCAAAATAAACAAATATAGGCAAACATTTCCAAGCACTTACTACATAACCGGGGGCTGTTCAAGTGGCTTTATGCAGATTAACTCATTTAATCTCCACAACAACCCTATGCAATAAGAATACATTTATTCCCATTTTACAGATGAGGAAACTGAGGTCCAGACAGGTCACCAATTTGTCCAAAGTCACACAGAGATCCAAACCCTGGCAGTCTGGCTCCAGAGCCAAGGCTTTACAGTCAGCTTTTAACGGCCAGGTCTGGTTCTCTTATCAAATCTTGTCAGTACTGGTTTGTCCTCTTCTCGAGATCTGGGGGGCGGGGGGAGGGGAACGACGACTTTTTCTGCCAGCCACAGAGGCTCAGGTGAACATGGCTTGGAAAATCTGGATTTAGGATGATCCAAGAATCATTTCAAACCACAAAATGTCTAATGACCTCTTTCCCACACACAAAAAAGAAGTGTTCCAGTAGCCTTACCATCACCACTTAGTCACAACTACTGTGTATGGAGTAGGTTCTCAGGATTTGGGCCCATTGTTTTTCATATAGAGGCCCCTATTTTAAGTCCTGCACAACCCTATGACAGAGCTATTAATTATTATTCCCATTATACAGATGAGAATAATGAGAATCTAAAAGGTTAAGTAACTCACCCAAGGCCACACCTAGGACTGGAGCCAAATTTAACTCCAAGACTCATGCTCTGAACACCACACCACTACATACAGCATCTGCCCTGACAGATGCCAGACACCTTGCGAGGCTCCTATATCCTGCACTCACAAATCAGGGCTGAGGCCCAGGTTCAGTGGATAGCTTTTTTCTCCAGCTGGCATGGCTACCCCAGCCACTGTTAACCAAAGACAGAATGTCAAGCTTGCAAAGGATCCATTGCTTTCAAAAATACACAAAACCATGTATGTATGGGTAGGCTTATGAGACAGGCCTGGGGTCTGACCAGCAGTCGTAGATGAGAGCAATCAAAAGAACAACACGGCGATGCGCTTCCAGAGTCCTCATACTCCAAAGAGCCAGACTCAAAAGTGCAGCCAAATGTGGAGGCAGAGACTCACACCACCAAGCCACCTGGCTTGTAAGGAGAGCTGTAACTGTCACGTGGTGTGGACTGCACCCGTGGCCTCAGGATGGATGTATTCTATCTCGACAGTGAAGCCAGAGGAAACCAAGTCATAAGCAGGAGGTGAACTGCACGGTGCCTGGGTGGCTCAGTTGGTTAAGCAACTGCCTTCGGCTCGGGTCGTGATCCTGGAGTCCCGGGATCGAGTCCCGCATCGGGCTCCCTGCTCAGCAGGGAGTCTGCTTCTCCCTCTGACCCTCCCCGCTCTCATGCTCTCTCTCTCTCTCTCAAATAAAATAAAATCTTTAAAAAAAAAAAAAAAAAAAAGGAGGTGAACTACCACAGCAAACCCTGTCTAAGGAACCACAAATTTTCAAAGTCTGAATGAGCTCTTCACAAGTTCCTTTTGAGTTCAACGTCTGCGTGGTGAGCAGGACTTGGCCAAAGCGGTTAGACAACGCCCCGTCTGACTGCCTGAGCATCACTTCCTGATGGGCTGGCTACATGAAGTCCAATGGCAGAGACTCCCTCTCCCCGCCCAGTACGAGGCTGGAAACTTCCCGTTCTCGTCCATGACCACCCAACCATGTTTCCAAGGAGCCTGCCACCCTCCTGATATGTTCATGGAATTGAAGGCAGTCTCCCTGGCCTGGGTCTGCACATTTCTGTTGTTTCTCCACATTCAGCTCCTGCAGATTAACTTTCAAAGGGAGCTCTTACTGCCCTCAATTCCTAGTGCTTGATGGCACCTCCCTAGACGCAGGCACCAAATTCTGACAACAATGATCAACCGAGAAATGGAACAGAACATAACCTCCTTGCGGAAAGGACTTTCTTTCTCTTGTTTATAGCTACAACTCCAAAGTCTAGGTCAGGGCCCGGAGAGTTGTAGGGACTCGTCACTATTGATCGAATAAATGGTAACACATCAGAAACAACCAACACCATCAATATCAGAGGGACTTCGGGACAGAATATACACTCAAGATGCTCTACAGCTGTTAAAAAATACTATGAGGAGGAGTACACAGCTATGTGGGAAAGGGAATGTGTGTATGAAGAAAACTGGGGGTGGGGGGAGAATGAGATTATAATTAAAAATAAATAAATCTACCACATGCAAACTGATTCACACAGAGTGTGTGTATCTACATACCATGGAAGTCCGTGGAGAAGCTTATAAGTCAGAAATCATAATTAGTCATTTTAGGGTAACAAGGAAACTTCTTTCTTTTAAATATTTTCTTTAATGTTTTTATATAGTAGAGTTTATTACTATTTTCTTTGGGGAGTGGGAGAGGGAGAAGCAGGCTTCCCGCTGAGCAGGGAGCCCGACTTGGGGCTCAATCCCAGGATCCTGGGATCATGACCTGAGTGGAAGGCAGACACCTAACCGACTGAGCCACCCAGGCGCCCCTATATTGTAGAGTTTAGAACAAATAACATTTTGGGGGGAAAATCACAGGCCGATCTTCCATGTATTAAAGACAGTTAAGCAGCAAAGAACCTCTAAGTCTTTTGCTGCTTTGAAAAACCTGGCTATCTGGAAATTCTGCCCTAAGAATGCAGTCACTCTCCTACTCCTGGCATGGAATTTCTCAGCCTCAGCATTAGTGACCTGAGGGTAGGGCAGGTAAGTCTGGTGTGGGGACCGTCCTGGGCAGCATAGGATGCTTAGTAGCAGTGCTGGTCTCCACTCATTAGATGCCCAGAGCGCCTCCCCACCCAAGTTGTAACAACCAAAATGATCTCCAGGTGTTGCCAATGTCCCCTGCAGGATAAAACTGTCCCTAGTTGAGAACCACTGCTTTGGCCAAGGGATAGAAGATTCTCTGCTGACAACGGCTGTCTTCTGGGTGAGACACTTGCTTGCAGCTGTAAGGGAAGAAGGCTTTCCGCCTGCCATGACAGGTAGGATGGTGATGTATATAATATTCTGTAGTGCCTGGATCTTTAACTCTCAGCCATTCCCATAGCTAAAATTGGGTATACCTTTTTTTTTTCTTCTGCTCAGTTCTTATTAATTCTGTGGGTAAATTTCTAACAGTGATATTACTGGGCAAAGAGCAGGAACATTAAGTATGCAGGACACACCGCTTTCCCAGTACTACTATCAGCAATGTCTGAATGGATCTGCCTTCGCAGGTCGTAGCTCTCCCCCAGCTACAAGATTCTGGAGGCGCAAGGTTATGCTCGTTCATCTGCAACGCCCAGCACACAGCCTGGCAATTAACAGGCTTCCCCACAGTCTCCCAGCCGGCATGCGGAAGCTCTGATTATTAACAAGCAGATGAGAAGCGTCCAGGTGGACATCAATCCAGAGGCCCTCTACCTCCCCGCCAGCACAGGACTCACGCTTTGGGGATTGCCACACTCAGCCGCACTGGTTTAGACCCCAGGCCGACTGCTCCCTGGCACTCGGTCAGAGCTCGCTTCTGTTCCAGCTCATCTGTGAATTTCACAAAACCATAGCCCCTGCAGAAAACAAAAGCATATACCTTATTTAGATCACAAACGTGATGAAGGTGAAGTCTAAGAATGGAAGAGAGGGAGAGTCTATCCAGCTCTGCAGGAAGGGATGAGAGACCCATCAGTAGAGGCATGCTGTGCAGCAATGTGAAACTCCAGTACGGCAGGAGCCTGAGTCCGAGGAACCCCCCCACGCCTTGACTGATGGGGCTCCTTCCCAGCAGCTTCCCTCCCAATCTACTGGAAATCCTGTTACCGTCAGCATCGTCACGGTAGCGGTGGTGGTAGTAAGAGCTGTGGTTCACTGAGCAAATATTTACCCCGTCTGCCCTGTACCCCAGGTATCACGTTAGACAACGGGGCTCAGCAGGCACACGCAGACAAGGTTCTTGCTCTGCTGGACTCATATATTAAGATTTTATTTATTTATTTGAAAGAGAACAGGTACACGCGAGAGTGGGGGGGAGGGGCAGAGGGTGAAGGAGATGGAGGAAAGAATCTCAAGCAGACTCTGCACTGAGCCCACAGCCCCATGTGGAGCTCGATCTCACGACCCTGAGATCATGACCTGAGCCAAAACCAAGAGTCAGACGCTTAACCGACTGAGCCACCCAGGCACCGCGGGACTCATATTCTACTTCCGGGATCAACAAATGATAGCTAATATTTCATGAGCACTTACTATCTCCCAGGCACTGTGCTGAGCATTTCCCCAGGATTAGTTCGTCAAACTGCCCAATGATTAGCTAACGGGAGTGTCCCTATTTTACTGAGGAGGAAATCAAGTTCAGAGGGACTCAATAACTTGCCCAACATCATTGTAGAAGCAGGATTCAAATCCAGGTCTTCAGCTTGTAACTCAAACTTGTGCTTATAACTATTACTCTGATCAAAAATAAGCCTTTCTTGAGGTTTTTCTACCTTTAAAGTAACAATAATAGATAAAATGGCAAACACCTACCAAGCATATCCTATTGCTTTATTTATTGCACATCATGTAACTGTTAGGTCAGGCCTATGAGCAGACACTACTAATCAGCATCTGTTGTACCAATGAGGAAATAATCAGGTGAGAGGTTGGGCCAGTACCGGAGTCAGGATGCACACCATAGTCTGGCTCCAGAGCCCGTGCTCTTCACGCCCATGCTACATGGCCTAGCTCTAACACCCCCATCTTTGAGACAAATGCTGGAACATGGTGGGCATCAGTCACAGGTAAGGCCTTACTTTGACACGCCCGTCTGGTCCAAAACCACCTTGCCTCCCCGACAGGACGGGTAGACTTTGACGAAGAATTCATACAGCATGCCATCATCCACATCTGGGGTGAGGTCCCCCACAAAGAGGGAGTATTCAGGGCTGAGAGGGGAGAACAAGATTCAGAGACAGATACCGAAAGCTTTGTTCTAACAAGCTCTTTTGGCCCATTCTAGGTAAACCTCTCCTGGGCCTTCCCGGGGAACAGCACATCTGATGGGTCCTTAGCCAGGTCCTAATTTGTTGCATTTGGCAGTCCTGGCAGAGAGTTATGGAAGCAGCCCCTGTCCCAAGCGCCTTACCCACTGAACAAAGCCTGTCTGGCTTCAAATATTACAGGATTGCAGGTGGGGGGCCTGGTCAGAGGTGCTCAAGAGAGAAAACTAGACACTGTATTCGCTGCAAATATTTTTTTAAGTAATCTCTATGCCCAATATGGGGCTCGAACTCACGACCCTAGGATGAAGAGTTGTATGCCCTACCGACTAAGCCAGCCAGGAGCCCCTCACTGCGTATTTTTAATTCAAATGGTGAAGATGAAGAATGAGAACTGGACCTTATCTCCTAAGACTGAAAGCAGAGCTAAAATTAAATCTGCCAACTTTTAGAACATGGATCAGCGAACTTTTTCTGTAAAAGGCCAGATAGTAAAAATTTTAAGCTTGGTGGGGCACCTATGGTCTCTGTTGCTTTTTCTGTTTTCACAATCCTTTAAAAGTGTAAAAACCATTTTTAGCTCACAGGTGATATAAGTCAGGTCACATTTTGTCAACCTCTGTTCTAGAAAAAATTATTTAAAAAAAATCAAACAAGCAGACTCATTATTATATTCTTGGTTCAAGTATGATACATATTCCTTATTTAAATCAGAATATACAAAAGGACAAAGAAAAATAAAATTACCAGTAACCCAACCACTCGAAGGTAATCACTATGAACACTCTGTTATATACTTTTGTCTTTTTTCTTTGGCTTCTTTGTATTTTTGTTTGTTTTTTTAAGATTTTATTTACTTGTCAGAGAGAAAGAGAGTGAGCACAAGCAGGCTGAGTGGCAGGCAGCGGGCGAAGTAGGCTCCCCACTGAGCAAGGACCCTGGGATCAATGACCTGAGCCGAAGGCAGACGCTTAACCAACTGAGCCACCCAGGTATCCCTTTTTTCTTCTTTTTTAAAGTAGGTTCCACCCTCAGTGTGGAGCCCAGTGCGGGGCCCAAACTCACAACCATGAGATCATGAACGATCAAGAGCTGGACACTTAACCGACTGAGTCACCCAGGCAAGCCTGGCTTTCCTTTTTGAATTTACAAAACTTGGGTATGACTCCCTTGTTCTGTTTCTAGCATTTTTTTTTCACTTTAACATATCACCAACTTCTTGACCTGTCCTCATTTGCTGCAAAATGACTTATAAATGGATACATCGTATTCCAATTAATAACATATTGTCATTTAAGCTACTTCTCTATTATTAAGATTATTTGGGTTTTTCCCCAATTTCCCCCATTATATGTAATATTTCAACGAACACTTTTGAGGCTAATCTTGGCATACATCCACGTATAAATTCTGAAGTAGAATTACAGGGTCAGTGGGTACAAATCTTTTTAAAGCTCTTGATACATTGTTTTAAAGCTTTTGAAGAGCACCCTGAAACAATCGATTTATGTCACTACAACAGGTCAATTCTTACTGAATAAAACTTCAATACTGCAGGTACTAACAGGGTAAAAGGTTAGAGGCAGGACCAAGTATAGAGAAGACATGGGTCTTGACAAGAAGCATACTGGGCAGGTCCACCAGCGGGGAAGGGGAGGGAGTCATCCTTTAAGAGGAAGGCAGAGTGGACCAAACTGGGCTCCCCAACCTCCTCTTTGGTGATGACCAGCACAGTGATGCACCTTGTCTCTACCTAGACATTTCCTGGGGCTTGAAGCTACCCTGGGGCTACCCTGCACTTACCTGTTATCTGGTTGTTTCCCATAAGTGGCATAGTTCAGTTTAAAACGTTTTGCCTAGAAATTTAAAAACAAACAAACTAAAACAGAGAAAGGTGTTTCAAGAGTCAAACAATATTTGAAAAAAACTGAAATAAATTACCTTGGCCAAAACATCTCCCCCTCTCTAAGCCTCAGCTTTCTCTCCTGTATAAAGTGAGGGGGTTGCACGGATGACCGCTAAGGGCACTGCCAGCTCCATGGTTCTATGAGCCCAGGTGTGCCAGCTTGGTGCAGCTGTAAGCTAAGTAACTGTGGGAAGAGCAGAATGTAACTCTCTTGAAATGTGTCCTCACTGCTGCCAGCCTGTTCTAGTTTCTCAATCAGGCAAGAGGTCTAGAGTTGCAAGTCTTCCATGAAGGGAGGCAGCAGTGCAGAGTGCAAAGGGCACGGATTTTAGAGGCAACCAATCTTCCGTTGGCGTCCTGCCTCTGCTAGTTACTACCTGTGCTGCCTCGGACAAGTTACGCCACTTCCCTGAGCTTCGGTTTCCTGGGCTGCCAAAGATAACGATGCCTACTGTGCAGGGTTGTTATAGGATTAAACAGAGTAAGTATACAGTAGGGATTCATGAATGATAGTTATCGATGACAATAAAAATGGGATCATCATTATCCAAGTGTCCTTACAGGTGTGGCTCCTGGCAGGGGTTTCCCATTAATTTTATGCAAACACTTCTCGGCTGTGGCCAAATCTGCAAATTCTACAAAACAGTAGCCAGCTGGGATTCTGGAAAGAAAGCAAACAAGAGAAAGAGAATGGTTAAAGATGGGATTCCCAGATGAGACTGAGCCCTGGCCTGAGGGGAGGAAAAAATGTTTTTCTAATCAGAGCTCATCCTGTTTTTGTTCCCTGCCATATTCCAGTTCAGAACGAACTTACAAACCTGAATATAAGGACTGTCCATCTGGGCCAGTCCAGACTCCTCTGATAAACATTTATTTATGTACTGTACCACCTTTGAAGTACTTTTGCCAAAAATATTTAAGATTTATTTATTTGCGGGGCGCCTGGGTGGCTCAGTCGTTGAGCGTCTGCCTTCGGCTCAGGTCATGATCCCAGGGTCCTGGGATCGAGCCCCACATCGGGCTCCCTGCTCCGCGGGAAGCCTGCTTCTCCCTCCCCCACTCCCCCTGCTTGTGCTCCCTCTCTCGCTGTGTCTCTGTCAAATAAATAAATAAAATCTTAAAGAAAAAAAAAGATGTACTTATTTGAGAGACAGAGTGCATGCGCAGCACAAGCAGGGGGAACAGTAGAGCGAGGGAGAGCTGCAGATTCCCTGCTGGGTACTGAGCCTGACGCAGGGCGCGATTCCATGACCCTGGGATCATGACCTGAGCCAAAATCAAGGGTCAGACACTTACTGAGTCACCCAGGCGCCCCCCAAAATATTTAATACAATCCAACCAAACTCTTCGGTCTAACGTCCAGTTTATACGGAATATTAGGGACAGAACAGGAAAACCACAAGGAAGCAACTAAAACCGGATCCCAGAACGTAGGACCTTCCGTAAGACGACTAGTCCTACCTCTTTAAAAAGTCAGTGGTACAAGAAAAGATAAGAGGTGAGCTTTCCTACACTTCAGACAGACAGGAGATGATCCTTTTGTACTTCGTAACTGTGATGATTGAGTGTTCGTACTGTTGTGACATGTACCTCCCTTAAACTCTGTTACAACCTTGGCGCCCGACCGCCTAAGATGGGGAAAAAAAAAGACATTAAAAAAAGAAAAGCTATAAAAGATATTCTGAGGGTGCCTGGGTGGCACAGTTGGTTAAGCACCCGACTTTTGGTTTTGGCTCAGGTCATGATCTCAGGGTACTGGGATCCAGTCCCGAGTTGGGCTCCCTGCTCAGCGGGGAGCCTGCTTCTCCCTCTGCCCCTCTCCCCTGCACGCACATGCTGTCTCCCTCTCTCTCAAATAAATACAATCTTAAAAAAAAAGAATATTCACATTATTGTGCAATCACTGACTGCATTCTTAAGCACTATGCTCTGCTGCATATTATTTTCCATGGGTCTTATTTTTTTCCCCTTATTTTCTCTGGTCTTGGTCTTTAAATTTGCATTTATTTATTTTACAGTATTCTTACAGGCCACTTCAAAGTCTGTCAAATGAGGCAAGGCATAAATGTAATGTGTTTTTTTTTTTTTTTTAAAGATTTTTTATTTATTTGAGAGAGAGAGAACGAGAGATAGAAAGCACGAGAGGGAAGAGGGTCAGAGGGAGAAGCAGACTCCCTGCTGAGCAGGAAGCCCGATGTGGGACTCGATCCCGGGACTCCAGGATCATGACCTGAGCCGAAGGCAGTCGCTTAACCAACTGAGCCACCCAGGCGCCCAATGTAATGTGTTTTTAAGTACATAAGAAATAGCCAGAGTTTAGGAATCATGGGTAGGAAAAGAGTTCCAAATTTTATTTCAATATAGTAGAAAGTATTACATAATGTTTTCATACTGGTAGCTGATTATCTGGGGTTTTCTGTCTACAAGAGCAAAAAGAAGAAAAATATTTAGGCTAGCATGATCTACCTGTCAGAGAATCTGTTCCTAGAGTACAGTGCAAATAAAAAGCAAGCAGAGAGAGTATGTAGGCAGCTGGGGGGATGTAGGCACCAACTCTGAAGAGGAGGGAGCCGCAGAGCCATGGCCTCCCAGGGAAAGGCTCTTGGCTCGCCCTGAGTGTAGCTGGTGCAATTCTTCACCCCTGCTCTGGGCTGCAGCTCCCAGACCTCAGAATAAAAACTGAGGGCCCCCGTGGACTAGTGTGTGGGGGGGGTGGGGGGCGTTCTCCCCGAGAAACATTCCGCATATGGGCCAGGGTCCTTTCTGAGACTGTTTATCAGGCTCAGAGTCAAGGTGTGTTAATGGCCTCATGTGGCAGGACCTGTGGAGCCCCTCCATGGTCCACTGTGCTGTTTTTTTCCAGGCTGTAAAATTGCTTCTCCCTTTCCACCTGTCCCGTCTTGGCACCCTGGGAGCTGGGCAGGGACAGGCAATGAGTTCTCCATGCCTGCCTCAGAGTCACTGAAAACCTCTACTCCATCTGATACAAAAAAAACCCTCAGAGACAGGCCAATTACAGAGAACAGGCATGGAACCAAGTCTATTTCTGTAGGACCTATATAAATATGCTCCTGTCTAGAGTGTTCTGCTGTTAGGAGCTTTGGGGAAGTTGGTTCCCAGTGATCACCTGGTGTTGTGCTGGTTTTTCCTCTGTCCCTTCCTCATCCGCACTGTATACCTGTATGTGAATGGCCTCGTGGCTACCTTGGTCTTTTCTCATTTCATAAAATGGTTTAAAGACAAAAAACAAAAATAAACTATTCCTAGGTATGAAGCTGCCTTGGCCCCTCTGGCCAACCTAGTCTTTTAAGTTTTTAGCAAGCACCCTTAACCCACCTGACTAACTAAACCTTTGTATGTTTATAGATCATGCATTCTTTCCTAGAAAGAACAGAGCACTTCTACATGTCACCGGGCTCTCTTGCACCACCTGGGGCACCATGAAACCAAACCCTCTTGCACAACCCCCACCAAGGAACCAGACCCCATTGCAATACCTTCAAGCACCATGATAACATCTGTAGCCGGCACCATCGAGACTGCACATAGTCAAGAGTTGTCATAGACCACTGCACTCCCTTAACTGATTAACTGCCCTAAATCACTTTAAAAATTTCTGGGCCAGGAGAAACCTTGGAGTTAGCTTTTGGACAAGAGTCCACCTTCTCTCCAGGTAGCCAGCCTCCTGAATAAAGCTCATACTCCCGGGTACCTGGGTGGCTCAGTCGTTAAGTGTCTGCCTTCGGCTCAGGTCATGATCCCAGGATTCTGGGATCGAGCCCCACATCGGGCTCCCTGCTGGGCGGGAAGTCTGCTTCTCCCTCTCCCACTCCCCCTGTGTTCCCTCTCTCGTTGTGTGTGTCTCTCTCTCTGTCAAATAAATAAATACAATCTTAAAAAAAAAAACTCATACTCCCTTCCAATCAAAACTCGTCTCTTGGGTGGAGGTGGGGGGCAAGAGGAAAAAAAACACCTCATCTCTAGAATATTGGCCTATCTACAGGCAGCCATACTTGGGTTTCAGTAATAGGTACTGGGATTCTGAATACACAAAGTACCTGTCAACCAAACAGCGAGAACTGACCACACTTCATCTCTCTCATCTGTATTTTTCAACCATTTGATGTTTTAGCAAGCTGCTTTGGTAATGTACCTGGCAGAGTACCTGCTCAGTAAACACTGTCAAAATGATAAGAGAATCCTCTTTTTTCTAATTAGAACTCTAAGGAAAACTGAGACCCCCTCAAGAGAAGGAAGAATGTGCAGGCAATATAGCACCACTAACTCAAAATATTCTCTGCATTTTATTTACGTATTTACTGCTTTGTTTCCCCATTAGAATGTAGTAAACTCCATGAGGAGGGACTATGGTTTGTTTCAGCCACGTATCCCAGGAACCTACAACAACAGCATATAGTACTGTTTCTATAAATAACTTTTTAAGTGAATGACACGAGTTAAGGGCACTCATGACTTTAAGAACAGATGAGTCCTGGCTTGTCATTTAATAGCTCTGTAAACTTTAAAAACAGTTATGAAGCTTCCCTAATAATAATACTTAGCTCAGACGTTTTTGTAATTTAAAAAATGATTTTAGGGGCGCCTGGCTGGCTCAGTCCATGGAGCATGTGACTTGATCTTGGGGTTCTAAGTCTGAGCCCCACAGTGGGTGTGAAGAACTTAAAAATAAAATCCTTTTCTTTTTTTTAAGATTTATTTATTGGGGCACTCGGGTGCCTCAGTCGGTTAAGCATCTGACTCTTGATTTCAGCTCAGGTCATGATCTCAGGGTTGTACGATCGAGTTCTGCATTGGATAAATAAATCTAAAAAAAATAGAAACTTAAAAATAGAATCTTAAAAGATTATCTCTAGGGCGCCTGGGTGGCTCAGTCGTTAAGCGTCTGCCTTTGGCTCAGGTCATGATTCCGGGGTCCTGGAATCGAGTCCCACATTGGGCTCCCTGCTCAGCAGGAAGCCTGCTTCTCCCTCTCCCACTCTCCCTGCTTGTGTTCCCTCTCTCGCTGTCTCTCTGTTTAAAAAAAAAAAAAAAAATCTTAAAAAAAAAATCATCATCTCTATTTTTATTATTTTGAAGAGACAGAGAGAGCTCGAGTGGGCTCCAGGAGGGCCCACTGAGCAGAGAGCCCTGATCCCAAGACCCTGAGATCATGACCTGAGCTGAAAGCAGATGCTTAACTGACTCAGCCACCCAGGTGCCCTGAGAGAGAGATAATCCTAAGCAGGCTCCACACCCAACGCAGAGTCCCACTGCATGCTCGACCCCAAGACCCTGAAATCATGACCTGAACCAAAATCAAGAGTCCAGGCTTAACGACTGAACCACCCAGGTGCCCCCTCAAAAAAGGATTTTAAAGTGCTTAGTACCTAGCAGATCATAATCTGTTTATATTCACTGAGCAAATGCCATATGCTAGACTGTTCTAAATGCTGAATGTGAATTAACTCATTTAATCCTCACCATAACTCTATGAGGTATATGGTGTTATCATCTCCATTTTCATAGTCACGGTGAGATGGAAATGGAGAGGTTTAGTAATTTGCCCAAGGTCACACAGTAGACCTAACTTTCAGTCTGGCTCCAGAGTCCAGTCCTTAACAATATGCTATACTTCCTCTCAATAAGCCCCCAAATGTTATTATGTTAACTATTATTAGGGGTGAGGAGCCCTGACTTTTCGATGTTTACATCCTGGAGAATGACACTGGCAGCATGGTCTATTAAAGGAGAATTGAGGGCGCCTGGGTGGCTCAGTTGGTTAAGCGACTGCCTTCGGCTCAGGTCGTGATCCTGGAGTCCCGGGATCGAGTCCCACATCGGGCTCCCTGCTCAGCGGGGAGTCGGCTTCTCCTTCTGACCCTCTTCCCTCTCGTGCTATCTCTCATTCTCTCTCTCAAGTAAGTAAATAAAATCTTAAAAAAAAAAAAAAGAATTGAGAAGATGAAAGGAGAAAATGTACCCAGTGAGGCGGTTTCGGATAATTTTGACGCTCATCACGGTCTCCCCCATGGTGGCAAAGGCTCTGGAGATGAAATTCTCATCCATGTAGGGCTCCAGCTGCGTAAATACAAGAGCAACGCATTCAGGCTAGCATTCAGGCTCCTCATTCCCGGTTCCAGAGCCCACCCAGGGTTGGCTACACGCTGCTGGTGGGGGCGGGAGTGCGGGGAGTGGAGATTTTCATCTACACAGTGGCCTAAATCCCACCTCGCACGTTTTCAATCCTCTGCCTCCCTTCCCTTCAAACTTGCTCCCTTTAGGGAGCCTCCTCCTTGGATTTAGTAACCCTATCCCTCCGTCCTAGAGCCACAGCGCCCTTCAATCCTTGGGACTCCAGCCATTCTATCCCCCTAAAGAACCTCCCTTTCCCTTCCATGAACGCAGGCGGAGAGCCAGGAACCCCCATCCTCAGACTCGGTCCCTTTACCTAAATTCTGGGACCCGCCCGTTTCACCCAAAGAACTCCTCTCCCCATTCACTTCCACCCTTTTGGGATTCGAGGACCCTTCTCCTTCAGACTCTTGCTCCCTCGTGACGCTAAGATTCGTCCTCCTCGGACCCGGGCAGCCGCCCTCACTCACGTCGCCCATCCATAGGCTGGCCGCCATGCCCGCAGCCGGGCCGGGAGTCCGCCGGCCAAGGAAGCCAGCGCCGGCGCCAGACCGCGGGGCCGGGACCGCCAGAGAGCATGCGCCTCCGACGTCTTCTGCGCACGCAGCGCCCAGGGCCGCGCCAGGATTGGCCTCTCCGGGTTTTTCCGACGACCCGGCTGGCCGGGCGCAGAGTTCCTGGATCCCTAAGGGCGGAGCTCAGCCGGAGTCCGGGGGCGGGGGCGGAGCAGACGCTACGCCCTCGCCGGGGTTGCTCGGGTAACTGGCTTTCTCCGGTTTCTTTCTGACCGTGTATTCAAACACACAAGTACATTTAAAATTACAAAACTAATTATGCTCATTGTAAAAAACAAAACAAAACAACAAAAAACCCTGCAAATAAAGCACACTTTTTAGGAAACTGAAAAGTCCCTTTGGGAGCCAGTTCCACTGTGTGACCTTGGGCAAACCACGGGTCCGCCCCAGCCACCCCCTCACCCTGCTTCCTAGTTTGCGAGACGTGAGATTTTTGTTGAAGTTGGATGGGATTCTTCCATCATTCCTGTATATAGCCCTAGGGTGAAAAGAGGGGGCGGGGGGGGGTACAGGGATTGTAAATTGGAGCAACCCTGTCATCTCAACGAAATAACCCCCAAGTCTTGTCATTCTACTTTCCGGAGTCCCATATCCACTACCCTAACCCAAAGCGCCAGCTCTAACTTGTCCCAGAACAATTACCTGTCCATGGAAGGCCCTCAGTGAACACGATTACAATGACTAGATAATCCCGACAATTTAACTCTTAGTCTGGGTGTGTCCAAGGCCAAAGCCTCACTTTGGCGCCCATTTCTCAGAATGGGGAGCTTCTGTAAGTGATCATCAACTCTAACAGTGAACCTCACCCAAAGTGCTTGAGGATCCCCTTCTGGGGCCCCTCTGGGCGATAAGCCACTAAGGCCCTTCTTTACCAGTTTATATACCTCCTCAATTTAGGGCGTTGGGCCCCCAAGTCAAGCGCTTACCAGTCTGAAAACGATATCTAGCCACTAGCTGCCACATTTCCAGGTTTATCCTACTTACTGTAATAGCAAGTGTAGTGGCTGGGCGCTTTGGCTATCAATCCCAGCCTCCTCTCACTAATTATTTTGGCAAGTTACTTAACCTGAGACTAATATGGATAATAGCAGTGCTTACCACATAGGGTGTTGTGAAGAGAAAATGAGAAGTTGGGAAAGTACTTGGCCCAATGCCTGGCATCCAGTAAATTCTCCAACATGGTATTTGGAGGCCTTCAAATTATAGCAGAGAGCTGTTTATTTGGTACTATTTGCCAGCCACTCTGCGGTGCTCTTTGCTTTCTACAGGTGGAAGATTTTTAAATGTTTGCTTTTAATTTAGAGTGCAAGCTTCATGAGACAGGGATTCTTGTTTGTTTCTAATCAAATTCCTACAACATCTGGGATATGGTAGGCACTGAGAAAATATTTGTTGAGGGGCGCCTGGGTGGCTCAGTGTTAAGCGTCTGCCTTCGGCTCAGGTCATGATCCCAGGGTCCTTCGGTCGAGCCCCACATCTGGCTCCCTGCTTGGCGGGAAGCCTGCTTCTCCCTCTCCCACTCCCCCTGCTTGTGTTCCCTCTCTCGCTGTTTCTGTCAAATAAATAAAATATTAAAATTTGTTGCTTTTATGAAATAAACAATAAACAGCAGTCCCTTACCCTATCCTTAGCCCCAATTCCCACTCCCTTGAGGCAAGTTTCCGCATCTCCCTAGAATCTATCTGCACATTTCTAAATGTACTTTCTCATTTGAAGTTTCAGATATCTTAGCGACTGCCCCTCATTCATACATACACACTTCTCCATCTTCTGATTATTTCTTGCAAAGCAGGAGCACCTGGCTGGCTCAGTCAATAAAGCGTGACACTCTTGATCTTGGGGAGGCGGGGAGGGGGGAGGAGGAGGTGGTGTGAGTTCAAACCCCACAGCGGGCAAAAAAATAAAATATGTCTGTCAAAGCAATATCGAACATTTACAACTTTGTAAATATTTATAGCAGAGCCACATTATGTACTATGATTACATTTGTTTTGGGGTAATCAATCCAGGTTGGAGGAGGATGGGGGAAAAAATAAAACAGAGTACTCAATGTGTTTGAACAAAAGGAAATTTACACTTAAGATTTTGGCGCTAAATTAATACCTAACACCAAAAATCTATGCATGTGAAAAACAGGACAATTATTAACTACAGGGAACAGAAAAAAACGTACAATTGTAACAGCAAAGAGCATATTATAGAGTACTATGTGCCTGACACTGTTCTCATATATGTAAAGCACCTACAGAGAGCTTTATAACACTTACGTGCAATACAAGGAAAAGGATTTGATGTTCTAGGCTCAGAAAGAGGCTGACTTAGATTCCAGCCTCGTTTGCTAGTTCGTGCATTTGGTAGCTAGCTTCTTGACCTTAAGCAAGTCATAACTCTTAGGGACTGTTTCCCGAGGGAAAAGTCTGACTTCGCAGGGCTGATGTAAGGATTGAAAGAGCTATTATTGCATGTAAAGTGTTCAGCACAATGCCTGGCCCATTTTAAGTCCCAATACAGAAGAGCTGTTATTAAGAACAGGGTATTTTCATCATGTTATCCTGTCAGAAGGGAAAATTCCAGTAAGTCTAAACCAAATGGACTTTTCTGGGGGCAGTGAGGAGGAGCAGCACACACACAAGTGCTTCTTTACAAAGAAAATATTAGAATCAAAAGTGTGGTGTCCCTTCTAAGAGGTCAATTTCCAATCAGTATATTGCCTGTATCAAAACTAAAACTTAAGGGGGGAAAAAATCACAGAATACATTTGAAGTTCTTTTACATCATATTCATTTTTCCAAGTCACTGACGTCCAAGACGAATCCTTTTGGTGATAATAAAAACTTCCTGTTATACATGTAAAGACCTTCTAGATCAGCACTGTCCACTGTAACTTCCTGCAATTATAGAAACGTTCTATGTTTGCACAGCCCAATACCACAGGCACCAGCCATACAGGACCACTGAGCACTTGAAATGTGGCTAGTGCAACCAAGGAAATTAATTTAAAATTTTTACAAGTTGTAATTTATTTAAATGTAAATAGCCACATGTAGCTAGTGACCACCATTGTAGACAGGTCAGCTGTATGATTTGGTTGCTCAAGTGCCTGGGAAGATCTACATTAATACTCGTAGTAAGTAGTCTTTTTTTTTTCTTTCTGTATTAAGTAGTCTTAAGAGTTATTGTGCAGTTAACCATGTTTAATCAATTACATCAGCTGTTGAGAATGATATAACAGCAAGCTTAGTGCAAGTATTTGTAGATATGTACTGTACTCAAATCTTGGTTTGGGATTAGGATATTAAAAGATCCATTCCATGTCTCACATTATGCAGCATAGGTTTTTTTTTTTTAAAATCCACTGATTCCTGAAACATAAGTACCTAAGCAAAAATCAATCAACTCTTTTCTTTTTTGACTTGTATGGAACAGTCACATCAATAGCTGACTGGCACATACCAGGACATCACGACATCACTTAAGTCCTAGCCTTGACCAGGTGCATAGGTATGGGTTTATTCTGCTCTTTCCAACACGACAGGTGCTCCCTTAAAAAAGCAGGGAGTATGTAAAAAACAAGTGGCCTGTTTTATAAAACTCTAAATTTATTCAAAGTGTTAAAAGATTTCACTCTCCCCTCCAAAATACTTTATATTTAAAAAAAATCAAAACTGTTTTCTATTTTCTCAGCCACTGTACAAGCTGCTGCTTCCCCTTCTGGGCACCAGCCTCTGCCCTTCTGACCCCTTTCCCCTCCCTCCCTTCACTCTCAATATTGCTATAAGTTTGTTTATAAAACTCTCCTTCCCCACTCCCTCCATGTCCTGCCCTGCAGATGTAGCTTCCTTTCCAGACGTCAGGCCCTTGGCTGCAGGTAAGGCAGGTCAGATGGGCAGGATACTCAGGCAATGCCTGAAGGGCAGAATGCTTTGTGCTTCTGGGAGAAAGGCTGATTGGCTTTTTTCTTGATCAAGTGGAGGATCATTGTTTATTCTTCCCCATGGACATCTGTTGAGGGCCAAATATTTGGCTTGGGGTTGTCCATGGCTAGGCAGCCCTGCCCCATCTCCGGTTTCCCCCAGGCATAGGTCCATGACAGCTGGGTCTGACCACCATACCATCTGTCTGCCTGTGGATTGTGAAGGACAGAGAGTGGCACACGGCTAGAGTAGGGCTTGAGAATCCCCAACTTTTCAGAACGTGGGCACCAAATCCCCAGGGGAGGAATTTTTGGTTTTTGGCAGGCAAAACCAGGGTCAGCCAGGACCATGGAGGTAGGGATGAGGGGGAAAGGTCTAACCACATAGCTCTGGGGTGAGCAATGTTCCGGCTGCCAAAACCCCCTCCCCTCTTCCATTTCCCCCCACTCCCCTTCATCTTGTAGGTTGCAGGATGATTCAGGAAAGGAGGACAGAGAAGAGGAAAAGGATTCTGTTCTGCTGATAGGAAAAAGGCAGGAGATGACAAGAGTATTCGGGGCTGGGGGAGGCCTGCTGGAGTCTGTAGTTGTCATAGCTTCCCAGTTCCAGGAGAGAGGGTGGCAGGGCCAGGAGCCAGGCCCGCAGAGGCTTCATCAGCTCTGTTCCTTGTCCTTGACTAGTAAGACTGTGTGCTGGCCCCCACTGGACACCGATAAGACCACACGGTTCTCCAGCTGCTTGCCAGTCATCTCCACCGGGCTCCAGGCATCCTCCTCCTGCCCTGTGCCCAGCTGGTAGTTGGTACCCATGCCCCAGGCGAAAGCGCGGCCTACACGGGAGAGAAATGGGGACAGCTGTCTCCAGGACCCCTAGCCCTACCTTTCTATACCGTGAGAAGTCTAGAACAGGAGGGTGAATTTTGGCTTTGGCCTTTAGCAGCCTAGCAATGTCCCAGCCTCTGGGAGTTCAGGGAAGCTGGGAGAAGCCAAGGAGATGATGGATTAAAAAAATAGCTTTGTCAACCAGAGACCACACTCCTTACACATTGCCAAAGACTTCTCCCTACTCCTAGGCATGGCATTCAAGGCTCTACATGACTGGCCACTCCCCAAAACCCTACGCCACCCTCCATTCCAAGGACCTTTGAGACTGCTCTAGATGTTCCTGTGCCGGGGATGCCTTTCATTGCTTATCATATTGGACTGAACCTTTAAGGTGTAGTACAAGCTCTACTTTCTCAGTAACTCTTCCCAGATAATTCCAGTCAAGCGCTTCCATCAGCTCCAGACTTCTCAAGGTGTCCATGGCTATCGATCTCACCCACTCAGGCTTTGGTGACCATCTGGTTCAGAGCCTCCTCTGCTGTGCCTGCTGGAACCCCAGTGACTAAGCCTTCTTTCTCCTAATAAAAGTCTAAGTACAACTCCCTGGGAAGCTGGCACATACTAGGTTGTAAATAAAGGGGTCACCTTGGTGGAAATTGTTTTTTTTTTTTTTTTTTTAAAGATTTTATTTATTTATTTGAGAGAGAGAGAATGAGAGAGAGCACGAGAGGGAAGAGGGTCAGAGGGAGAAGCAGACTCCCTGCTGAGCAGGGAGCCCGATGCGGGACTTGATCCCGGGACCCCAGGATCATGACCTGAGCCGAAGGCAGTCGCTTAACCAACTGAGCCACCCAGGCGCCCACCTTGGTGGAAATTGTAAAGAGAAGACTGAGTTAAGACTCTGGAGACCTGGGGGCGCCTGGTTGGCTCAGTTGTTAAGTGTCTGCCTTCGGCTCAGGTCATGATCCCAGCGTCCTGGGATTGAGCCCTGCATTGGGCTCCCTGCTCTGCGGGAAGCCTGCTTCTCCCTCTCCCACTCCCCCTGCTTGTGTTCCCTCTCTCACTGTGTCTCTGTCAAGTAAATAAATAAAATCTTAAAAAAAAAAAAAAAAAAGACTCTGGAGACTTGGGATTCAAGTCCTACTGCCTGTAGGTGATATATCTCTCTTTACTATTTTTCTATGCTACAAAACAAATAACCCTTTTTAAAACAATATGTTTACTCATTTTATGTTCATCAAAGCCAGAGCTTCTGACAGGAGAAAAGCAACGTCATCACAAATAGTGCTCTCTGCATCTCGGCTCTATTTGATGATGGACATCACAGACTGACGAGAAGTTTGGTAAGAATCATGACCCCCAGGACCCAACCACACCAAGTGGCAGCCCCAACTCACCATCCTTGGTCACAGCATACCCAACAGAGGCCCCACAAGCCACTGAGGAGACAGCAGGGAGCCTTGGGATGAGGGTGGGTATACTTTTCTCCTCGGCACCCTCCCCAAGGCCCAGCCGCCCATACTCAGCCCGGCCCAGGCTGTACGCTTTTCCTGTGGGAGGAGGGAGGAGATGAAGAGTAGCAGAGGGCATGCTCCAGGTAGGTCAGGTGAGTTCCCAAATCTAAGGGAGTTGGTCCCCACTCCCAGGGTGGTGAGAAGCAGGTCTGCAGCATCTGTCCCACTTTTGGGGGACGTCTGGGAGAACCCCCAAAGGACCCCACTGAGCTCATACTTGGAAGAGTGCCAAGACTCTGGGGGATGGGGATGGCCCTCATGGACCCACATCTGGCCCAACCCACGGAGCAGGCCCAGGTTCCAAGGACCATGGTCTCAGGAGTCTGGCTAGGCTATGCCCAAGGAGTACTCCACCCCCAACCCAGAGGTCCCACCTTCTGAATCCATGCAGACTGTATGATGCTGGCCACCAGAGAAGCCCACCCAGGACTTGGTAGAGTTCTTGAAGGATGTCAAGTTTTGGGGTACAAAGCAAGATTCTGTGCCTGGGGTTCCTGGGAGGAAAATGCCAGAATAGAGCTGTCAGGAGTGAAGCTGTCCAAGGAGCTGTGCTTCTTCATCCTCTCACACAGTGAGGCCACCTCCTCCACACAAATACCAAGGTAAGGATATTCTCAGTTTACAGATAACAGAACTATGGCTCTGAGGGGTTAGCGGACCCCAACAAGGGTGCCCAACAAATGAGTGGTGAAGCCAGGATTGGAACCCAAGTCACTCTGGGCTACGCCAGATGTTGGGCTTGGGACTCACCAAGCTGATGATAGTTGGAGAGGCCAAAACCATATACATGGCCCTCGCAGGAGATGGCAAAGGTGAAGTAGGCACCACAGAAGGCGTCCTGGAATCTCACATGACCCCGGCTCCCTCTGGATTTCAGCATCACACACTTGGGAACCAGGAGTCGTTCTGTAGCAGAGAGGAGGCCGGGGTCAGTGGCAGACACACAGCTTCTCTCTCTGCCCTGTGTGTTTTTTCCCAATACTATAGCCCCTGGAGGGAAGCTAAGCAGGGATTTTTCTTCCTTTTCCCTATTAAAAAGAAGAGAAAACAACCCAAGAGAGTAAAAGTGCCTCACTCAGACTCCCAGAGTCGTAAAAGGTAACATTTACATGGACCTTACCATGTGCCAAACATTCTTCTATGTTAACTCCATTTCACTTCACCACGACCCAGTGAAGTATGTTTAGAGATGAGAAAACTACGTCCAGGGTCCCACAGCCAACAGGTAGTAGAACCAGGACTGAAATCCAGGGTGGTCTGGCTCTAGAGTCAGAGTTCTCACCTATCACCACAGGTCTAGCTGATGCAAGCCGAAACTCACACAGAGAATCCCTCCTGCTTCTGACCTTCCCCAGGGGGTGGCTTGCCAAGTTGCTCTGCCCTGCCAGACAGACCTAAGCCACCTACCAAGGCCCTGCCGGCCACCACGGTTGGCAAATAATTCAGGCACACGGCCCAGCTGGCCCTGCTCCCCGCAGCCCAAAGTGTAGAGGTCACCATCAGCTGTCAGCATCACCAGGTGGTCATTTCCTGCGGGGGGAGAGGAAGGCACAGGATACAGGGCTTGTCTATATGGCCCAAGACTAGGCTAGCCCCAGAACGAGGTTCTCCAGCTCCCACCTCGAGCACCCCCAGGCTTACCTGAGGCCACCTTCACTACAGGCGCGGTCAGCTGCACTTGCACAGGCACCGTGCTCTTCTTCATGGGCTCCAAGAGTCCAATCACACCGTTATTGTCCTGGAAGGCAGGACAGAGCACTTACCCGCCAGTCCTGTCTGCCCCAGACCAGCCAGATCCAGGCCTGCGGCAACCACAGAGCTGTCTGGTGAAGGGGACTGGTGCCAGACGGAGATGAAGAGGTGGGCAGGAGCCAGGACAAACAGTGAAATACTTAATGAATGAAATCATATGTGGCTTGTGATTTACATTAAAGTAACAAAGGAGTAGGGTAATGGATGGGAGTAGAGAGGAAACAAGTTTGGCGACAAGCTGATGCCTGTGGAGGCGAGTAAATGGGTATTTGATATATTTTTCTGATTACCTTTATGTGTTTGAAATTCTCCATAAGTAGCTTTAAAAACAGCCATGATGAGGACACACCTCATCAGGTTCCTTTATCTTTGACATTTCAAAATAAATACCAAAGTACCAAGACAATTTTAATGCTGACTCTACTGTTTGAAACTCCCTTGCCTCAGAAATTCTGAGATGTGACAATCCTTCTCGTGCACCCCCAAACCCCTGACAGATTTAGAAGAGGGCTGGGAAGGGGGGAGATTGAAGGCAGGGAGATGGGTGAGGACAGCAGGCTTCCTGAATCAGCCTCAGCCCAAAGGCATCCTTGACCCACCCCTTTCCCAAGATAACACACTTCATAATATAGACTCGAGGAAAGAACCAGTGGTGTGGACAGGCCTGGATGAAGAGACCTGGGTCTGGGCCCAAGCTCTGCCTCTGGGCCTTGATTTCCCCACCATTAAGTGCAACAGGGAGGTGGAGATGGATTATCACTGGGGTCTCACCAGTGAATTCTGCCAGCCAGCCAGCCCTCATGCGGTCTTCCAGACCCAGTCTTACCCGGAAGGAGCCCCAGAGGAAAACGCGACCATCCTCAGTGAGGGCTGCTGTGTGACTGTCTCCTGCTGACACCTGTACCACTTTCTCTTGCAGTTCCACTTTCCCGGGGACCATCTCTGAGCCCTCCACTGATGTGTCCCTTCCCAGGGCACCCTCATCGTTGCAGCCGAAGGAGTAGACCTGTGCCCAAGATGCCCCCATTAGCGCAAGGTCTGGCTTCAGTCCATTCTTGCACTCCCTGTGCAGCTAACCAGCTCCAACTCCACAGAGTGATGTGTGTGGCTCAAAGCTCCTTCCCCAAGCCCCCCAACCCCAGGCCCTGTCCAATCCTGTGCCACCCACCCCAACCTACCTGGCCACTTTTGCTTAGACACACAGTATGCATGCCCCCAGCCTCGGCTTGCACGATGTCCTCCGGAATGGGCACCAGGGCCGGCTTCTTCCTCTCCATCACATTCTCGCCTAGCCCCAACTGGCCCACATCGCCCTGGCCCAGTGTTAGCACCATGCCTGGTTCTGTGCTGTGGGACCTATGGGAGACTGAGGGGTGAAGAAGACAGCCCTTGAGTGTGCAGGATAACAGAAGAGAGGAGGGGTCATTGCATGGGCTCTGGGACCACACAGACCTGGGTTCAAGCCCCTGCTCTGCCACAGACCAGTCCTAGGATCTTTCTAGGAAGCCTAAGTCTCCTCATCTGTAAAATGTGAATAGCAAAGATAACTGTGTCACAAGGTTTTTGTGAAAATTAAAAACTGAGCACATTATTAATATGAGGGACAATCAACATTGTGAAATGAATCTTGGTGGGGAGGGGAAGAGAACAGTGAGGATACAGATGATTTTCCTGAATAGCTCTGAGTTCTCAGGAGTCATGGTGCCAACAGTGAGGACTCAGATAATGTCTACCCTTTACTGGCTGCTTATTCTACAAATGTTAAATTGCTTTGTAGTAGTCCCCTAAATTATACTACAGACCTTCCATATTTAGGCTCCTGTTTTACAGGAAAGGAAACAGAGGCTCAGAGAGGTTAAGTAACCCTCCCAGAGTCACGGAGCTAATAAACAGTAAAGTTTGCACTGAAACCAAAGGAACCTACATGGGTCAGAGCACTGTCCCTAGCCTCCACCATCAGGCTGCGACTTAACTCCCAGACATATTCCCACAGAACCCTTCCGCTCCTATCTGGCAGCTGACCCGCAGCTGAAGAGGAAGGGGCAGGAGTTAAGAGAGAAGACAGGCATTTGTGGAAAGGTACAAGCCAACCAGTGGAAGGCATAGGGCCAACTGCTGGCCAATGGCGGCTGCCCGCCGCCCCGGACAGCCAATGGTGTCCAGCTCCTCCCCCCGGGGGTGTGGCCACGGCTGCCGGGGCAGCTACGGCTGCGCAGAGGGTGCCTTGGGCAGGGAGCCACCTGGTCGGGTTTTCTGGTCAGGAGGGCTCGGCCTCTGGGCCCCTGGAACGCGATGGGAGGCAACAGCCCTCACTGCCTGGTTACGACGGTCTGCAAAAGACAGACACCATCTGAGCGTCGGTCCACACTATTCCCTCCCAGATTGGGGGTGGATTTCTCTCCTCCCCGTCTCCCTCCAGGGTCCCAGGAAAGAGCAAAGCACAGCTGCCTCCCTCAAATGCTACCAGGACGTATCTCGTTTTCCTCTTAACAGCCCAGCGAAATTGGTGCTGTTCTTGCCTCTGTTTTATTAACGGGGTAAAGTCAAGCTCAGCGACGTTAAGTCACTTGCCCAAAGTTACACGGCTAGAAAGTGGCAGAGCCTGGACTTGAACCCACTTCTGGAAGTCAATGGCCCTAGCCATAGTACATTACTGCCTGGAGCAAAGTCCTAGCTAGGGTCTTGTTTTTTTGTTTTTTTGCCAGTACTGCCTGAGTGCTTGCAGACAAGTCTCCTCCTTTATGACTTCCAGGGGGTGGGATTCAGTAAGCTACACGGGACCCTGCATCTGGGTGGAGCTCCTGGGCTTCCAGGCCCCTCAGCTTCAGATCTCAGGGAGGCAGGAGCCCAGTCCTAGATTCTGGGGGCTCCAAGAGGGCCCCCATTCAGAGATAGAGGCCAGCGCCAACTTACCCTTCACCTTCTTGCTTTTGGGGAGAGCATCTTCTGGGGGTGACCTTCTCTTAGCTATACGTTTGGGTGGCATCTTCCTTTCCTGAAAAACCGAGGCAAATATTCCATTTCAGAAATGGCAATCACTTTCCTGCTCTAACTAGGCAACATTTACCAAAAACCCTAAAAATGGTAAGAGGAATTCCGGCAATTCCACTTCTCAGAATTTATCTGAGGAGAACAAGAATAATGGATACACCCAAAGATTAGGTTCCATAAATATTCTCTACTGTATTCTTCCTAATATTAAAAAAAATAGGGGTGCCTGGGTGGCTCAGTTGGTTAGGCGGCTGCCTTCGGCTCAGGTCATGATCCTGGAGTCCCGGGATCGAGTCCCGCATCGGGCTCCCTGCTCAGCGGGGAGTCTGCTTCTCCCTCTGACCCTCTTCCCTCTTGTGCTATCTCTCATTCTCTCTCTCTCTCAAATAAATAAATAAAATCTTAAAAAAAAAAAAAAGAACCACCCATGTGCCCCATGGTAGGGGGATGGCCAGAAAATATGCAATACATTCAGGATAGAAGAGTATGAGGCCATTAAGAGGATGCTTTCAGAGATGTGTTTATCGAATAGGAAGATGTTCACCATTGCCAAATAATACAAGCAGCTTGAAAAAACAGTCTATCATCCCATTAAAAAAGGCATACACATGCAAAAATAGGTGTAGAAGACTGTGTGGAAGGAAATACATTTATTAACAATGGTTAGTAACCTCTGGAAAATGGGATTATGGACACTTTTTTTGGTACCTTCCTGTATTACGTAAAATATCTGACAAAGAACTTTACATGTTTTATTTATTTATTTAGGGTTTATTTATATATTTTTGTAATGTCTCCACCTGTGAAACTCAAACTCATGACCCTGAGATCAAGAGTTGCATGCTCTTCTGACTGAGCCAGCCAGGCACCCCTATTTTTTATTTTATTATAAAAAATTAAAGCCTTGAAGAACAACATCAAGTAAATTATCTCTCACAGCTCCCCCTCAATCCTGAGATAACCACTAATAACTTTGGGAAAGCACTACTGTTATCAGAGCAAAAGAAAAACCAACCAAACAAAAAACCAAAAAAGCTATTCTCATTACAAAAAATCAAACCAGACCATCTGTGCCCTCTGATCTAAAAATGCCACTCCTGAGAAGACACTGGCTTTCCTAAAGAGTCCAATTAATAAATAAACACTGTATATACTCACCAGGTGTTACAAATAGGGGAAAGGAAACCACTTGTGGGTGACAAGAAAGGTTCTTGGACCTAGCACCATCCAGGACAGCTGAGGGCTTCAGCCCCAAATGGCTCCCTCATTCGGGTGCTGCTTCCCCACAATGGTCTCCCTGTCTTCCTCAAGGCTGCTGGGAACAGAGACATTCTCCCCAGCTCTCTCAATTCCAATCCAGCCCAAACTGTGTCCAAAGCCGCCTTCCTCCACACACCCAGCCCCGGAAATAAATCTTTATTGAGCCCTGGTCTTTAAGGCTGTGAAACTGCCTAAGCCTGGGGCTCTCCCATCTGGATCGCACACGTTCTGGAATGGTTGGCAGGGGTCAGGGCCCTTGAGAGCTACCCTGATGTAGAAGTGGGATAGCCTGTGCCCGTGGAGAGCCCTCAGGGCCAGAATCTGGGCTCAGCTACTTTCTAGCTGCTTGACCTTGGGCAGAATTACATAACCTCTTCATGAGTCAGTTTCTTCCTCAGTAAAACAGGGATAATAATTGTACCTACATCTTTATGTAGGATTAAATGAGCTAATGCTGTAAACTATACATTCATATCGGTATTACGACATCTAGAGCCTACCCCAGGCAATGCTTGAGCACAGCTCTAATCTAATCTAACCCAGCTCTCCTCCATTTTGGAGCTAAGGGATGAGACTCTACCCAAGACTATAAATGGAGTAAGAACTTCGAGAGCCCTTCTCAGGCTCAGCTGTGGGCCTAACCGGCACCTTCTCCCCATCTCCTTCTTCCAGCAGGTCCTAGAGCATCAGCCTCTCCAGCTCCCCACTGCCTGGTAATGAACACAAGGCCAAAGGCCTCTGATTTTCTGAGCACATTTCTGCTAACAATCCTGGGGGAGAACAAAGAACTGAAGATAAGGAAGTAGCCAAAGGTTCAGAATCCTCCACGCCTGTGTAGGCTGAGCGCCTTCTACAGGTTGTGACTGGCCCAGTTCTGACTGTGATGAGGTGGCAGTCCTGAATGTCACCCAACTTTTATTCTCTTGGGGTGTGACGCCTTCTCTCCAACCCACCTCTTTGAGACCCCTCTTACCATGCTAAAGATGCACATTCTCTGGGATTAGAGGGAACTGGATTCATCTGCTAGAGCTGTGGCTTGCTCACCCCAGCTTTTGTGACCCTGGTTGGCCCGCAGCCTTGACCTCTCTGCGCTGTAGCCTCTTCTGTAAAGGGGAATGCTATGGTACTTCTCAGGGCTGCTGTCAAAACTGAATGAAATGGGAGCCCCTGGGTGGCTCAGTCATTAAGCGTCTGCCGTCGGCTCAGGTCATGATCCCAGGGTCCTGGGATCGAGCCCCACATCGGGCTCCTTGCTCAGTGGGAAGCCTGCTTCTCCCTCCACCTGCCGCTCCCCCGCTTGTGTTCCCTCTCTATCTCTCTGTCAAATAAATAAATAAAATCTTAAACAAAAAAAAAAACCCTGAATGAAATGTTTGTAATGGACTTTGCAGTGCCAAGCACACAGTAAGTACTCAATACATGGCAGCATTTATTCATTTGTCCCACAAATATTTATTGAGTGCCTATTTACAGTGCTTGGTGTTGGGCCGGGTGTAGCAAGGAAAGAGGAGACTAACCCTCTCCGTTCTCATGGAGCTTACATTGTAGCAGGAAAGAAACATACGGATGGGACGTAAGAGATAACTTGGGGGTGCACAACAATGTGTGTGTGCTTAACGACACTGAGCTATATGCTTAAACATGGTTAAAATGGAAAAAAATGGTGAAAATGGTAAATTTTATGTATATTTTATCACATCAAAAAAAAAAAAAGAAAATAACTTGGGGTAGGGAAGAGAGTGGTCAGGGAGGTGACCTTTAAGCTGGGACCTGAAATATGAGAGAAAGCCAGCAGGGCAAGACCAGGACAAAAGTGGCCCAGGACACAGTGTGGTTAAGTTTGGGAACCAGGAGAGGCCAGTGCGGCTGCAGCTGGAGAACTGGTCAGATGGCATGAGGTGAGCAGGGGCTGGATCATGCAAGGCCTTCTAGGGAAAATGGAAAACTTTTAAGAAAGTCTTCATCAGATTTACATTCTTTTTTTTTTTTTTAAGATTTTATTTATTTATTTTGAGAGAGAGAGACACAGCGAAAGAGGGAACACAAGCAGGGGGAGAGAGAGAGGGAGAAGCAGGCTCCCTGCTAAGCAGGGAGCCCGAGGCGGGGCTCGATCCCAGGACCCTGGGATCATGACCTGAGCCGAAGGTAGACACTTAACGACTGAGCTACCCAGGGGCCCCTCATCCTTTTCTTTTTTTAAGATTTTATTTATTTATTTGAGAGAGAGAGAGAGAGAGAGAGAGAGAGAGCATGAGCACAAGTGGGGGGAGGCAGAGGGAGAAGCAGGCTCCACACTGAGCAGGGAGCCCGATGCGGGGCTTGATCCCAGGACCCCGGGATCATGACGACCTGAGAGGAAGGCAGACACTTAACGACTGAGCCACCCAGGCGCCCCCAGATTTACATTCTTAAACGGTTGTTCTGGCTACTGTAAAGAAACTGGGATCGACTGGAAGAGGAGGCCATTGCAGGCATCCAAATAAGAGAAGATGGTGACTTGACTGGGTCTGTCCGAGGTAATAGAGAAAAAGGACACAAAACAGATCAACTTAGGAGACAGATTCAATTCATGGATTAGATGTGTGGAGTTAGGGAGAGGGAGGGATCCAGAATGACTTTCTTCATCCTAAAAAAAACCCAGGGGATCCCGGGCAGGCCTCCCCAGGATCCCCCTATGAGCTTGGCCAAACACAAGGATTCCCAGGCGTTGGCTTAAATGAGGAGGATGGATTGGAACACCTGGCTGGCTCAGTTGGCGAAGCATGTGAATTTTAATCTCAGGGTGTGACTTCGAGCCCCACATTGGGTATAGAGATTACTTAAAAATAAAATCTTAAAAAAAAATGACTAGGATGGTAGACTTCTATTTGGTGAGGCGGGAGAACACTAGGGGACAAACGCTTGAGGAGAGACCCAAGAGCCCCATTTTACCCGATGTTTTCCTTAAGTCTGAAGTTGTTGGGAGCCAAGGAGAGGGAATGTTAAGTATGCAGAGCTGGGTGGGTTAAGGGGTGTGGGATAGAACAGGTATCCTTGTTTCAGGTAGACAGCTTGTATGTCTGGCCAAGGACCTGTCCTGCCAAAAGTAAATCTCCCGTCAGCTCATCAGAATGACCTGTGGCAGGGAGGGAGACTGTGTCGTAGCATGGAAAAGTGCTCACAACAAGAAGTGAAAACAAAGGGAAGAGAATTATGTCAGCATACTGGTGCTGATGCTAGGCTGACCTGCAAGCAAGGCCTGGAGCGGAGACGGAAAAATAAACATGAGGTGATTGGTATCACAGGGCGCTAACAAAAACATGTGTTACTGTGGGTTGGAACCCAGTGAACATCTCCTTAGCCACCCACGTTTTGGTGAACATTGTGGGGCATGTCACTGCAAGCTAGGCACACTGATCCTACTTTACAGGTGAGGAAGCTGAGGCTCAGAAAGGTAAAGTACCTCACCCAGGACTGGAAAAGGGAGTGAAGGTCTCAACCAAGCTGGTCAGACTCCCAAGCTGGTGCCCTTGCCAACTTCCTCCCCAAGCTCCCCAGTCTCTCAGTCAGCCTGGGCTCTCTCTCATACCCTCTCACCAAGAAAAGACAGCCACTTGGCTCTGGTCTTCCTGATCCCCACCCCATGTCATTCCATAAGTCAATCATGATCTTTCTAAACCTCAAACCTGAAACAAGCGGCTTCCTTGCTCAGACTCCCCTGTGGTTCCTTCTGCCTGGAAGACAAAGCCCACATTTCTTACCCTGGTGCCAAAGGCCTCCAGAGTCTGGTACTGACATAACGTTTGGCCTCATCCCTTCTCTGTTACATCCTCCTTTTGCTTCCTACACAATCTTAGATTGCTTACTGTTCTCTCCAGACCATTTGCATCTCTATACCTTCCCATCCCTTATCCTACTGGAAGAATGTCTACTCAGTCCCAAAGTCACCTCCACTGGTAAATTTCCTGGTCCCTCCCCTCATCCTAAACTAACCATTCTCTCCCAGAGAAACTGGGATCTTCTAGATCATAATTACTCTGGTTTACATGTCTGTCCACCATACCAACCTACTCCTTAAAATACAAGCCACTCTGGGGCACTGGCCACTCCTATCTTCTGTATGCCAACAGCCTTTTACTTCTCACAACAAGCTGAAGCAGCACTATCACTCCTAATTCAACTGATGGGCCTGAGGCTCAGAGAATACAGCCAGTAAAAAAGAGTCAGGAATAGAAACCAGGTATACCTGATTGACTTAACAAAAACCAGGTCGGCCAAAGGCAGCCATGATCCAGGCAGGGGTGGAGGCAGCCCAGGCAGGCCTCTCCAGAATCCCCCATGAGCTTGGCCAAGCACAAGTGAGGGCAGAAGCCAGCTGAGTGGAAGAAGATGATGAGACCAGAGAGGAGACACTGAGGCAGCTTGGGTCTAAGTGGGTGGGCCAGGTGGGTGTGGGAGCCACTGAAGGACATGGGAAAGGACAGACCTGAGTTCTCGCTGAGCCTCAGAATATTTGCCTCTCAGATGGAAGACTCTAGGTACTGCAGAATGCTGTTGTGAGCAATCCCAGAGGCAGGGCAGGGGATGAGGGCACCTCCTAAAAGGTGGAGCCCTGGGGGCACCTGGCTGGCTTACACAAAAGAGCATGCGACTCTTGATCTCAGGGTCATGAGTTCGAGCCCCACAGTGGGTATGGAGATTAAAGAAAGAAAGAAGCTAAAAATAAATAAATGAATAAAATAAAAGGTGGAGCCCTGCACCCATTACCCACCTGCCTATCCTCGATTGCACAAATCAGTCCTTTGTACAGACTCCTTCTCGAACTGCTCTGGGTGTGTTTTCTTAACCACACACTAAGTGTCTGGACTAGAAGTAAGTAGCAATCTTTTGTCCCCACCCCTCACTCCCTAACAGACAAACACAGCTTCCATCCTCAGCAGCTTACAGTCTGGGAGAAGAGTAAGACATAGAAATAAGTAGAACTCAGATAGAGAGTCAACTTCCACTAAAAGCCACCTATGATGCTAGGTGTGATCACCCTGGTTTTACAGATAAGAAAGCTGAGGCTAAGGAAAGGTGCCCCAGGCCACAAAAGTGGGATTAGATCCCAGGTCTCCTGAGCACTCCCCGTCAGGGCCAGGGCACCCCCCCCCTCCCTCCCCTCTTCTCCCTGGGCTCCAGTTTCCTCATGTAGTGAATGAAGGCACACCAGACTAGACAGTCTACCAGGGGCCTGGTGTTCCTGTTGTGACCTCCTACGACCTCTCCACAGCCTCGTTTCTGCAAAGACAGACAGGGCCCTCTCTGACCACAGCAGCTGTCCTGGCCACCACCCCCACCTCACCAACGTCAGGAGGCAGACACTTGCCTGCCAGTCTCAGAAGCTTAAGAATCTTTGTGAGTTAAGGTCCCCGGGAGGAGAGGGTCTCATGTGTCAGCAAACAGTTGCTGAGCTCCTGCTATGTGCCAGGCACAGCGCTGGTATACTTCACCCCAGGAGTTCCTCGCCAGAGGCGCCCCCTTGTATACAGAGTTATGCCCGGGGGAAAGGGACCTCAGCTTCCACCGGATGTTAGAATCACTGCTTTATTAAAAATACAGGATATTAGTAATTCTCACAACATGCCTCTTACCTTCATTTTACAGATAAGGAAACTAACACCCAGGGAGACTGGGTGGGTGGTCCAAGGGCACCCAACTAGTAAGTTGCAAAGCTGAACAGGATTCCTGCTCTTGGGATGTCTTTGCAACAAGAGCAAGGTGAACTCCGGATTCATCTTTCCAGACTCCGCTCTGCTGCCCTTCTTGGGTGACACCGTCCCTGCCTCCTCCACCACCACCCAGTGTTTCTTGGTCTTGCACTCCAGACCTTTCAAGACCCAGCCCTTGCTGTATTATCTTGTTACTCCCTTCTTTTAACCAGACTTCAACATCTGTGGTATTCCTAACCCCAGCACTCACCTACACCTTCATGCCTTGGCATGCCCCTGCCTGGATGGCACTAACTCCTCCACCCCAGGCAGCTGAATAACTCCAATTCTGGTCAAAACCCCGTTCAAGAGTCACCTCACCTGGAAAGCCATCCTGACCCCCTCAAGAGTTCCCGGACCACTCCATACACTCAACTTCTGCTAGGGCACACAAGTCACACTTGGCTGGAGCACCTCCATTACCATTTGACGAATGAATGGTTTCACGGACATACTTCGGTGACACACTGGACTAATAACTGAGGGCCCCAGATGGGTCTCCCCAAGGAGACCGGGGTCTCTGTAAAGGCCACGCAGGGCCCTTCTCACCACTGTTCCCCAGCCCTGCCAGCGCAGCACGGAGTAGAAAGCCAGTAAATAATCGGTTGACAGATGAGTTTGATGCAGGGTTCACAGCACACCTCTCCAAGAGTCAACAGTCTTCGTCCTGGTGCCTGTTGACGCTGAGACTTCTTTCCCTACAGAAGACTCTCACCAGCCTACCCTCGCGCTCCTAAGGCACACACTCTCGCCGGGCAGGATCCCTCCCCTGGCTCTGTCACACGCATCCTCCGGACGAACGCTGGGCAAAACCACTTTCCCGGCTCCGGAAGCGCAGCCCCGGTCGGGGCGGCCGGTCCCGGGCCGCGAGGCGCGCGGCTCTGCGCCCGGCGGGGTCACCGCGGCCGCGCGCACACGGCCGGCCGCGCTCGGGCCGTTTGAATCTCCCGCCCGCGCGGGCGCCGCGGGCCGGACGAGAGAGGCGCGGCGGCAGAGGGGCCGCGCGGCCCTCGCTCGAGCCAGGCGGGGCCAGGCCGGCGCCAGGGCGCCCCGCGGGGCCGGGGACCCGCGCGCCCGCACCCGCGCCTTCCTGCCGCCCGGCTTCACGTGGGGCCGGCGCCGCCGACACGAGCGCGCGGGCAACGGCCCCGGCCCGCCAGGGCTCCGGCTGTGGCCGCCCCGCGCGCCGCCCTCCGCCCCGACCCTCCGCCCCGACCCTCCGCCCGTGACGGGCGCGACCTACCTCGCTGCAGGTCCGCCACAAGCAACTCCTCCGCTCGCCTGCCCGGCCGCGAACTGCCCCAGAGCATGCGCTCTGCAGGCCTCCGGCCCCGACCCCGGGCCAGAAAGGAAAACAAAGAGCCCGGCGGCCCCTGGCGGCCGCCCCGGGAAGTGCAAGTGGCGCGCTCGGGCTAGAGCGCTCTAGACCGGGTTCTCTCCGCCCCTGGCCCGGGTACGGTGTGTATGTATTTGGGAGGCTCCAAATCCGGACCAGTGGACTGACAACCAGAGACTACTTGAAACCAGGTGAGGCAGGGACTGTAGAGATAATGATCTTCCCTGCTCTCAAAGGGGTCCCCGTCAGAGAAAGATGAGAAATCAGACCATCAACAACCACGCAGGGGCATCTGGCTGAGCCTGGGGCTTGAGAAAAGCTTTCCAAGGTAAGTCTAAGAGGGCAGGGCATCTAGGAGATGCATCCCTTGCGATGACAGAGAACGATGAGAACCTAGGGTGGTTGCGGAAAACTGCCAAGGTGTGATTTGAGCAGAGGGTGCCCGTAGGAGTGGAGAACGCTCGAGAGGGAGAGTCAGATCATGATGCAGGGCCTTGTGTGTCTAAGGAGTACAGCCTCTATCCCGAGGCAGTGGGGAGTTAGGGAAGGGATCTGAGCAAGGGAGTGACATGAGCAGAGTCTTATTTCAGAGCAAAATGGAGAATGGAGTTGGTGGGAGGGGAAAATAAGGGGGGGGGGAGGGGGGGAAAAGAAAAGCGAAGGAGACCAGCTAAGAAAGATGAGGTTGTGGACTGGGGTTGGGTGCTGGAGGTGGGAAAAAGCATCAAGTTGACTGTGCGCTCTTGTTAACACACTCCTTCTTCAGGATGGATACAAACAGTTCAGGATTTCAGGTGTTCCCTGAGGCGACTTGATTGTGTTGGGGGATTTCTGAGATCAGAGCAGGGACCTCTGCAGAAGGGCATTTTCTCCATTTCATGTTGATTCTGACTCTGAAAGTCATTCAATCGTACCTGAACCCTAGATGGACACTTTTGATGAGTATTTACCAACCGAATTTCTCCTACAATGTGGAGGCCACCCCAAAGTACTCCCCATCTTCAGGGTCTCTTACCTCTCCAAGTTTACCTCCGCCTCCATCATGGACTCCTCTTTTGGATGATATTCTGTGAAATTTCTCCAAGTTTTAATCCTGGATCTTTGATCTCTCTGCTGTCTTCTTCCAAGATCTTACTCATTCACGTGGCTTAATGTAATTGTAAGAATGATTATTATCACCTATTTTGTAAAACCGTTTACTTTGTTAACTACAGAAACACATCCACCCATGTCCATGAGCTCATTTGTTCCTTACACAACCTCATGATCGTTGGCAAATGAGAAAAATGAGGTTTCAAGAGCTGAGGCCAGTTCTCTGGGGTCAGCACACAAACAGTAGAAGAGGACCAGAACTCTTGTTCTTTCAACTGAGAGGACAGTCCATTTGGTCTGGTTCTGACTTCCACCGTAAGTTTCAGCCCTAGAGCTCTTCCCAGAAGACACAACACCTAAAATAAAACATGTTTTGTATGGATCTAGACTCCCCTCCCAACTTCATCCTTACAGCCAAGATTAAGGTTCTTGGAGAAGTAAAGATTTAATCCTTAACTTCTGATTCTTCCTTCTCCCCTCTTCATGTTTCTGTTTCTGCCCCTCCCTGGTCTAAGGCACCACCCTCTTGGCTTCTGCTCCCGCCCCTCATCCCTTCCCCTCCATTTTGTTCCACCTAGGTCCCCATGCTAGTCTCCCTAAATCACGGCTCTGAGAACTTGCCCTGCTTCAAAATCTTTTAAAAACTCCAAAATCTCTTCACTGCTGTGCTTGGAACACCAGGTGGCTAATGCCCCAGGTTACTGATCTCCCATTCTCCCCTTCCCCTCTGCACTGTACTCTGAAGGTGCCCATGTTCATTCTACCTTCTCACCTTTATGTAGGCTGTTTTCCCCAATAGGCTTTCTTCCTGCCTTGTTGAGCTCTTGATATATCTTAAGGCTCAATTCAGTCCCCATCTCTGTGAAGCCTTCCTTGGCTCCACCTTATCTTTTCCTATTCTGAACCCAAATACTCATTTTAATTTTTTCACATTCTATCATTGTTTTATTTATTGAACACAAACCATAAGGACAATCAATTGAACCCGGCCCAGAACTGTTCAAATGACAGAAATGAAAGATATTGAAAGTTACTGTAGGGGCGCCTGGGTGGCTCAGTCAGTTAAGTGTCTGCGTTCGGCTCAGGTCATGATCCTGGGGTCCTGGGATTGAGCCCCACTGAACAGGGAGCCTGCTTCTCCCTCTCCTCCCCACTTATGCTCTCTCTCTATCCCTGTCTCTCTCTCCCAAATAAATAAAATCTTAAAATAAAGAAAGTTTTTTTGGGCACCTGGGTGGCTCAGATGGTTAAGCGTCTGCCTTCGGCTCAGGTCATGATCCCAGGGTCCTGGGATCGAGTCTTGCATCGAGCTCCCTGCTCAGCGGGAAGCCTACTTCTCCCTCTGCCTCTCTCTCTCTCTGTCTCTGTCTCTGTCTCTCATGAATAAATAAATTTAAAAAATCTTTAAAAAAAAGAGTTTTTGTAACTTTATTGCATACGCATAAAAGTTAAGTAGAGACATGGAAGATATAAAAAGACCCAAAGTGAATTTCTTTTTTATATTTTATTTATTTGAGAAAGAGAGAATGAGCATGAGCAGGCAGAGAGGCAGAGGAAGAAGCAGACTCCCCGCTGAGCAGGGAGCCAGATGTGGGGCTTGATCCCAGGATCCTGAGATCATGACCTGAGCCAAATACAGACACTCAACCAACTGAGCCACCCAGGCACCACCCAAAGTGAATCTCTTGACAGTATCTAAGATTACAAATACACTGGATGCTATTAACAATAGATTAGATATTGCAAAAGCAATGATTAGTAAACTTGAGGGCACAGCAAGAGAAACTTCCAAAATGAAACATAGAGAAAAAAGAATTTTAAAAAATTGAAAATGGCATCAGTGAGCTATGGAATAACTTTAAGTGGCCAAATATACAGGGAAGCAAGGAGGACCTGGGGACAGAGAATATATGAAGAAATAACAGCTTAAAAATGTGCAAACTACAAACCTACAGATCTGTGATAGCTAATTTTATATGTCTACTTGGCTAGGCTATGGTGGCCAGCTGTTTGGTCAAATGCCAGTCTAGATGTTGCTGTGATGGTATTTTTTGGATATGATAACCTTTAAATCAGTAGACTTTACCTTCTGTAATGTGGGTGGGCTTCATCCAATCAGTTGAAGGCCTTAAGGGAAGGAATTCTGCCAAGACTGCATGTAGGCTCAAGACTGCAACACCAACTCTTGCTGGAATTTCTAGCCTGCCAAAGTGCCCTACAGATTTCCGACTTGCCAGCCCCCACAACTACGTGTGCCAGTTCTTTAAAGTAAATCTCTGTCTATCTACACACATACCTTCTGTTGGTTCTGTTTCTCTGGAGAACAATTGACCAACACAAAATCCAAGAAGCTCAAGTAACTCCAAATACAAAAAACAGGATACATCAAAATCAAATTGCTTAAAACCAATGACAGAAAATCTTAAAAGCAGTCAGAAAAAAGACATGTTATATACAGAGAAAGGAGACAAGGATACAATGCAACATGTTAGGTACAGAGGAACAAAGACAAGGGTACAATGCAAACATAACATGGAGCAACATCTCTAAAGTACTCTAGCAAAATTATATCTAAGAAGGTATATCCAGCAAAAACATCTCTCAAAAATGAAGGTGAAAATAAGTTATTTTCAGGGGCACCTGGGTGGCTCAGTCATTAAGCGTCTGCCTTCAGCTCAGGTCATGTTCCCAGATTTTATTTATCTAGATCTAGATCTAGATAAATAAATAAAATCTTAAAAAAAGAAAATAAGTTTTCAGACATACAAAAGCTGAAAGAATTCATCACCAGTAGAACCACTGTAAAAGAGATGTTAAAGGAAGACGGGCAGAAGGAACATGACACCAGACAAGAATCTGGATCTACAATGGAGGCATGAAGAGCACTGGAAAATACTTTATTTCACCTTCATTTTTGAAAGATTGTTTTCTTTCTTTTTTTAAAGATTTTATTTATTTATTTATTTGAGAGAGAGAGCATAAGAGGGGGGAGGGTCAGAGGGAGAAGCAGACTCCCCGCTGAGCAGGGAGCCTGATGTGGGACTCGATCCCGGGACTCCAGGATCATGACCTGAGCCAAAGGCAGTCGCTTAACCAACTGAGCCACCCAGGCGCCCGAAAGATTGTTTTCTTTCTTAAAACTTTATTTTTTTTTAATTTTATTTATTTATTTGACAGAGAGAGACAGAGAGAGAGAGGGATCACAAGCAGGGGGAGTGGGAGAGGGAGAAGCAGGCTTCCCACTGAGCAGGGAGCCCGATGCGGGGCTTGATCCCGGGACCCCGGGGATTATGACCTGAGCCGAAGGCAGACACTTAACGACTGGGCCACCCAGGCGCCCCTCTTTCTTAAAACTTTAAAAAGGATAATTGCCTGTTTAAACAAAAAAAAAATAATGTATTGTGGGTTTTATAATATATATAAAAGTGATACACAAGACAACAATAAGACTGTGGGGTGACAAACGTATGGTTCTTATACTGTCCTAAGTGATGTGATATAATATCAATTAATGTGGACTCTGATAAGTTGAAGATGTATACTATAAACCCTAAAGCAACCACAAAAATAACAAAATAAAGTTATAGCTAGTAAGCTAACAAAGGTAATATAGAATCAGAAAAAAAAAACTTTTTTTTTTTTTTTAGAGAGAGGGAGGGCAGAGGGGCAGTGGGAGAGGGAGAGAGAAAATCTTAAGTAGGCCTCACACCCAACACGGGGCTCGATGCAGGGTTCGATCTCACAACCCTGAGATCATGACCTGAGCTGAAATCAAGAGTTGGACACTTAACCAGCTGAGCCACCCAGGCACCCAATACTCATTTCTTTTTTAAACGATTTATTTATTTGAAAGAGTGTGTGTGTGTGCAAGCATAGGGGAAGGGGCAAAGGGAAAGGGAGAGAGAGAATCCCAAGCAGACTCCCTGCTGAGTGAGGAGTCCAGTGCAGGGTTCACTCTCAGGACCCAAAGATCATGATCTGAGTGGAAATCAAGAGTCAGACACTCAACTGACTGAGCCACCCAGGTGCCCCCAGTACTCATTTTTTAAAAGGCAGAATAAGAAGACAAAAGGAACAAAGAACAGATGAGACAAATAGAAAACAAGTATCAAAATGATAAGACTCTGGGGCGCTGGGTAGCTCAGTTGGTTAAGTGTCTGCCTTTGGCTCAGGTCATGAACTCAGGGTGCTGGGATCGAGCCCTGCTCAGCAGGGAGTCTGCTTCTCCCTCTGCCCCTCTCCATACCCATGTTTTTTCTCTCTCTCAAATAAAAAAAAAAAAGGTAAGACTCAAACCTAAGCACATTAATCATATAAAAATAGGGTCTAAACACTCCAGGTGAAAGGTAGAGATTATCATAATAAATCAAAAAAGCAAGACCCAATTATACACTGCCTACAAGATATATAGTTCAAATATAAATATACAAATAGGTTAAAAGTAAAAGGATACAAAAGACATACTTTGGTAACACCAGTCGAAAGAAAGCTGGAGCAGCTATATTAATAACAAAGTAGATTTCAGAGCAAAGAATATTATTGAAAAAAAGTAATTTCATAGATGATAAAGGAGTCAACGGATCAAAATACACAATCCTGAACATATATGCAACTAATAAGAGTTTCACAATACATGAAGCAAAAACTGACAGAACTTTTTTTTTTAAAGATTTATTCATTTGACAGACAGCAGAAGCAGGGTGAGTGGCAGGCAGAGGCAGAGGGAGAAGCAAGCTCCCCGCTGAGCAGGAAGCCTGATGTGGGGCTCCATCCCAGGACCCTGGGATCATGACCTGAGCAGAAGGCAGATGCTTAACCAACTAAGCCACCCAGACACCCCCGATAGAACTTCTTGAAGAAATAGACAAATCCACAAATATAGCTGGAGAGTTTGATAACCTACTCTTGGTAATTGATAGAACAAGTAGGCGGAAAACCAGCAAGGATATAGACTTGAACAACACTTGCAACCAACTTTACTGATTGACATTTATACAGTGCTTCACCTTTCTTCACATTCCACCTTACTTTCTTCAAACAACAGTAAAATACATATTCTTCTCAAGTGCACATGAAACATTTACCAAGATAGACCATGTTCTAGGTCATAGAACAAGTCTTGGTAAATTTAAAAGGATTCAAGTCGTACAAAGTACATTCTTAGACTACACTGACATTAAAATAGAAACCAGTAACAGCAAGATTTTTGGAAAACTCCCAAGTATTTAAAAACGAATACACTTTTAAATAACCTGTAGATAAAAGAAACCAAAAGGGAATTTAAAAGTATTTTGAGCTGAATTAAAATGAAAACACAACATACCAGAAGTTTAGGATATTGTTAAAGCAATATTTGGGAGAAACACATAGCACTAAATGCTTATATTTAAAAAAAGGAAAGCTCTTAAATCAATGACCTCAACTTCTACCTTAAGAAGTGAGGGAAAGAGGGGTGCTGGGGTGGATCAGTCAGTTAAGCATGTGACTCTTGATTTCAGCTGAGGTCATGATCTCAGGATTGGGAGATTGAGCCCCACGTGTTGCTCCATGCTCAGCAGGGAATCTGCTCCAGATTCTCTCCCTCTCCCCCCTCCCCACTTGTGCGCTCTCTCAAATAAATCTTAATAAAAACAGAAATGAGGAAGAGTAAACTGCATCTAGTAAAAAGAATACAATAAAGATAAAAGCAGAAATCAATAGAACATAGAAAAACAAAATCATCAACCATTGTTTGCTATGTGCCAGGCACAGTATAGGTACTGAGCTTACATAGATGGTCCCATTCCTTGAGGATCCAACTAGTTAAGTTAGACGTACATCAGTTTAAAAATAATCACGTCAGGGGCGCCTGGGTGGCTCAGTCGTTAAGCATCTGCCTTCGGCTCAGGTCATGATCCCAGGGTCCTGGGTTCAAACCCTGCATCGGGCTACCTGCTCGGCAGGAAGCCTGCTTCTCGAGAATCTCCCACTTACCCTGCTTGTGTTCTCTCTCTGGCTGTCTCTCTGTCAAATAAAAAAAAATAAAAAATAAAAATAATCACATCAGAATGCTATCATGATGGAATGCTCAAGGTGCTGGTGCTTTTAAGGGAAAGTGAGGACAGTGGTGCCGAGTGCAGGCTCTAGACAAACACCTTTTAAGTTCTATTCTGTGTGGTCTTGGGCAAATGATAAAACTTTGATTTTGTCTTCCTTTCCTAGAACATGAATTTAATAAAATTCCCTGCCCTGCATAAGACTGTTTTGATTAAAGAATGCCTAGCACACAGCAAATCTTCATCAAGTGTCAGGTACGATCATTAAAATTGGATCCCATCCATCCCAAAGATAGAGAGGGGTGAAAGGAGGAGGCATGGCCAGGGAAGGGCTCTCACTCCCCAGGAAACTACTCATTTCCACTTCATTTTCCACTGTCAAGTAAAACTGGGCACTTATGTTTGTAACTCATTACAACTGAAACTGAGGTTTTATGGTATAGTGGTTATTATATTAGCTTAATACCAAAAAAGTGGTTTAAACCAGGTGGAAATAGTATTTTTTGAGGCATGATATGACATAGGTTTAAAATAGGTTCTGTGGTCAGTTGCCTTGCTCACAGGCATGCTCTGCCACTTACTGGCTGTGAACTTGGGCAAGTTCCTCATATCCTCCAACTTCAGTTTTCCTCATCTGCAAAATGGGCACAAGAGTACCTACTTTACAGAGGTACATGGAGTATCAAATAATGTACATACATCACCACTGTCTTGCTCAAAGCTAGTAATATATAATATGGTTTTGGAGTTAGGTTTGAGTCCTGGTTCTGCTCCTTACTAGTTAGGTGATCTTGGGGAAGTTACTAATCCCTTAATCTCTCCTGGAAAGATAGGGTTGGTTCTGAGATAAACCTAGGTTAGTAATAGCTAAGTGATGGTAGACTTTATTCATTCAACAAAATTTACTGGATATTGCATCCCAGGTGTTTGCTTGAGAAGTGATATTTAACAAACTCATTGTGCTTTTATGAAACTGTAAGCTTTTTACAATTAACTCATTTCTCATTAAAACCCCAAGAGGTAGGTACTTTTATCATCCCCGGTTCTATGGATGAAAAAATTGAGGCAGAGGTTAAGTGGCTTGCCCAAGGTCCCATGGATAGCAAGTGGTGGTATTTGGATTCAAATGCAGGCAGTGACTCCAAGACTCCAACTTTCACAATGACTGATAGGACTGCCTACATGTAGAAAAAGGCCAGAAGAGCCTGTTTGGAAAAAGCCTACAGACAAGTATGTCGAAAGCAGAAGCCTGAAAAGGTGGGGCCTAGAATACCTGACAGCTTTGTTTCATCTACACTTTGGACATGGAGGAAAAAAATGCACATATTTCTTGCCCAGCAGGTTACCCAGCCTAACCCTGTTCATTTATACTAAAAACTAAATTCCCTGCCTGGGTGTAGGGAAAAAACACTATTCAGACATCTGAGCACCTCCTTTCCATAGGCTGCTTATGTAGTTAAGGATAGGAAAGATGAGTACCAGACAAAAGGTTGGCCCTGGGCATCCAGGTTCCCTCCTAGCAATTCTACAGTTCATTTGTACAGAGGATCTACTTAGCTGTTGGCTTGGACAATCAGCCTATTAAAACTAATACCTACCTCAGAGTTGTGAATACATGCTAAGCTTAGGACAGTGCCTGGCACAGGTAAGTTCAAGTGTACTTGTTTTAACAGATCACCTTAATCACACTCCTTAAAAGCCCCCTCCCCACCTTGTTTCATTTAGCCCCACTCTGGATCTAGACTCTTTACCTTCTAGATGGTTCTGTTAGTCCCCATCCTTCAGGGTCTCAGCTGCCCTATGCTGGCAGCTAGTACATGAGCTTGACAAGATTTCCTTTGTGACTCAACCTCCCATCACTCATAGGCAGGATGACAATTTTCTCCAGTTTAGGTTCCACTTGAAACACTGGCAGTAGAGACTTAACTAGCTTAACAGAGGTGTGATTTTAGCATTTATGCCCAACCTTGTTAAGGTCAACTTACCTGTACTATATTGGGGGAAACTGAAGGCTTGGTCTAATTAGTAACGAAGATCTCTGAACACTCATGTCCAGTGGTCAATTGTTATGTTCACCTTTCAAGACACCACACCTAAATTCATTAGGTATCCTAAGCACTACCCACCTTTGAATGCAACCCGCTTTTACCTGCACACTAGGTAACTGGTAGGAATCAATACACATTTTCCAACAGAAGAGTAAACAAGTGCTGGGGTGCCTGGGTAGCTCAGTCATTAAGCATCTGCCTTCAGCTCAGGTCATGATCCCAGGACCCTGGGATCAAGCCCCACATTAGGCTCTCTGCTCGGTGGGAAGCCTGCTTCTCCCTCTCCCACTCCCCCTGCTTGTGTTCCCTCTCTTGCTGTCAAATAAATAAAATCTTAAAAAAAAAAAAGGAGTAAACAAGTGTCAAGGGACACAAGACACACAAGCTCAGTCTTTAATGCAGAACTAAGCAAACATAAACTGCAAAGGTAGTTTTCCTAACAAGCACTTCCATTCACAGAATACGAGTGTCAGTCACATTTCCACAAAAAAAGGAGCCACACAAATATGCAGCCATCTTTATTATAATTCACAAATACATTATAAACAGACCTGGATCTTTAATAAGACACTTAGGATCTGATAGGCTTTTGTTTTCCATTCAGTTATGTAGTTAGAAAACCCAGTTTACTTGAGACAGTAGAAAAGGCCAAGTAGCATCTTAGCTTCCTTAAATTTTCTCCTCATAGGCATTCTGGAATCTTTGGGCTTTGTGGGTCAAAGGACCAGATTGTTAAGACATGCCTATATTCAGTGCTGTCCGCATTCCCTAAATTTCAATGGGCACCTGTCCTATGGAACATTCAACTTGTTCCCCAAATTTAGTATTCAGTTTTAAAGAGGTCAAATGTGCCCAAGTTTCCAAACCTCCAGGCTTATCTTATAAAAACAGCATTTATCATTCATTTTACCAACCCTCCCTGCCAAATAAAGGACCCCAAAAGTGTGTTAACTGCCAATGATTGGTGAGGCTCCTCTTCTCTCCTGAATGAAAACAAATGAAAAAGAGGATCAGACTCCTACTTAAGATCTCACTAAAAATTTTAATTTTAGTTTTCATTAGATGTTTCCTGCATGGTTTGTCTCCTCAGTCATCGTCCAGAGGACTCTGAGAAGCTGTAGGAATATGCAGGCGCAGACTCAAGGCCCGGCTTCATCTCCAACGTCGTGGAAAGGGACTGTACGTCACGGGGCAGAGCCCTATGCTCCCGTATGCCACCTGGACAGAGCCCGGGGAGAGTGACCTCCCGGGAGTATCCACGTTGGAATGCCTATGATTAAACAGCATCACCCTCAAAACATTTTTAAGAGATTCCATTTCCTCCCATTCCATTCTACACAAGTGAATTTGAGGAAAGCCTGTTTAAAACCCAGTCGTTTACTACTGTTTCATGGTTTCTCTACTTAATTACTCATTGTCCTAGGACTATTCAGGTACATACACCCACCTTCATCTCCAGTATCATGAAAGGGCTTGTATTGGACACCAAATGCTTGGCTACCATACACAGACTTTGAGGGAGTATGCACATTTGTTTTGTTTATAAGACTTGCACGCAAGCTTTGCTAATCTTGACTTTGGTTAATTCACCCAATTTTTCCATTAGCAGCAAGTTTCTACCCTATCACATGAGAAAGATGTGAAAATATTAACTTTTATTGAATAAATAGCTATCTTCCCAGACATAAGAATACATTTACGAAACTGTCAACATGCCAACAAAAATGCAGCAAAGTTTCTATCTGGATGTATTAATGGCAGGAACACATTCATGAAAAGGAACTGGGCTGGAATGATTTAAATGTCAACAGGAAATAAAAGCCAAAAACAATTCTTACCCCAAATTCTTTGGTTTACTTACCTCGAATCAAATTTACTTGGAATCCTGCGTGATCACTGCAAAATAAGGTAGGCAAGAGCTTAATCCAGTAATACTTGGAAGGGAGAAAAGGTTTTTCTTTCCAATCAACCTAGATCCAGATAGAGGGAGCTGTTTCCTGCATGGTTTATCTCCTCAGTCATCGTCCGGAGGACTCTGAGAAGCTGTAGGAATATGCAGGCGCAGACTCAAGGCCCGGCTTCATCTCCAACGTCGTGGAAAGGGACTGTACGTCACGGGGCAGAGCCCTATGCTCCCGTACGCCACCTGGACAGAGCCCGGGGAGAGTGACCTCCCGGGAGTATCCACGTTGGTCACTGTAATTTACTTAATTTGCAAGCTCCTGAGCTACAAATAAATTTCAACCAGTTGATGGCGACTTCCCCAGGATATCCACTTTGGGGTGGATCCTATCCCAAGTGCCAACGAAATTCGAGTTCAATACCGATCAGCAGTCTCCTGTCAGTTATCTAAATTAACTTTCAGCCAGGTACCCCGAACATATCTACAAACCCCAACAGGCGATTAGCACTAATGCCAAAGCAATGGCAAATGCAAAGCCGTAGACACAGCAACTACGGCTCCTATCCATAAACGATCATCAGGAGTCGTGAGCTCACCCTACATCATAAAGCAAGTGGCAGAATCAAGAACCGTCCGTTTCGAAATCGATTCTCAAGCTCATATAGGTGTCAGACATTAAATGACCTGCACGCAATTCCACCGCCTCCTAGAAGACAAGGTAATAAGCTGGGCGATGGGCAACAGGAGGGGGTGGGCCGCGCATTTAGCGTCCGGCGCGTGAGGTAGCAGCTCTGCAGGTTTCGGCGCGAACGCCTTAGATTATAGGCAAGACCCGTAGCTCACGAGGCCTCCATGGCCCACATCCGGCCCAGCTCCCCTGCATGAAGGAAGTGTAGTCAGCACAGACACCACTGAAGGGAATCTTAGATAGGATGAAGCCCACAAGAAAATCTGGTTGGCAGGCCCGGGGTACTAAACCTAGAACTAACGAATCGAACGGGTAAAAATACTCACCAGCCGACTTCCACGCAGCGCAGCAATCGTTCTCGAAAAGACCGAGGAAGCCCCAGAGCATCCTTATTTATATCTTCTGAAGCGCGCGGAAGTCAAGGTGTATTTATTGCGCCTGCGCATCGCCCTGCGCAGTTAGGGAATCGGAAATTCGCTAAGGGTTCTGGGAACCATTGCAACTTAAGCCCCACCCCTTCCTGGCTCACAGGCTTCTTGCGACCCTAGAGCCTTCGCGCGGGAAACTTGCTGGGTAACGTAAATTACAGAAACGGAGTTTAGAAGTATGCAGTCCGGTGGTGAGTAGACAATATACTTCTCAGCAATCAGCTAACCCAGTCTGGAGGATGTACACTCAGATAAACTCGCCAACCCCCCCCCCCCCCCCACGCACACATTTTGGAGTAATTATAGGCAAACTTGAAAAAGCCATCTAGAAAAATGCAGAATCACAAGTGATTGAATCCGCTGTCACATGTGAAATAAACATTTGATAAATGAGTAGGTAAAGAGGACAGAAATGCTTCTACACGAATTGGCTAATTTTTTTTAAGAGACCTTTTTATTGGGGCACCTGGGTGGCTCAGTCGGTTAAGTAGCTGCCTTGAGCTCAGGTCACGATCCCAGAGTCCTGGGATTGATCCAGCATCTGGCTCCTTGCTCAGCAGGGAGTTGGCTTCTCTCTCGCTCGCTCTCACTCTCTCTCAAGTAAATAAAATCTTTTAAAAAAATTATTTATTTGAGAGAGAGAAAGGGCTCGAGAAGGGGGAGGGTCAGAGGCCTACTCCTCGACAAGCAGGGAGCTCTATGCAGGGCTCGATCCTGGCATCCTCGGATCATGACCCTAGCTGGCAGCCGCTTAACCGACTGAGCCACCCAGGGGCCCAAATGAATACATAAGGAATTGGCTAAAATTTAAAGCTTCCTATACACAACAATGGATGAATTTAATACTGCCGAACTGTACACCCGAAAATGGTTAAAAAGGTAAATTTTACATTATTTTCAACACACACTCACCTAATATAAAGAAGTAGGCAAGTAAAGAATCCTGGAGATACATATTACATGTGAAATGTTGCAAATGTGATAGAATTTTGAATATGGTGTAAAGTGAATTAGGTAAATTAACATGGAGCCATCACAGCTGGGCTGTAATGAGTGGAAACATTTATAGTGTTCCTCCTATAAGGTTTTGTGCTGGGGGCACATGGGTGGCTCAGTCGTTAAGCGTCTGTCTTCGGCTCAGGTCATGATCCCAGAGTCCTGGGATTGAGCCCCGCATCGGGCTCCCTGCTCTGCGGAAAGGCTGCTTCTCCCTCTCCCACTCCCCTTGCTTGTGTTCCCTCTCTCGCTGTATCTATCTCTGTCAAATGAATAAATAAAATCTTAAAAAAAAAAAAAGATTTTGGGCGCCTGGGTGGCTCAGTTGGTTAGGCGACTGCCTTCGGCTCAGGTCATGATCCTGGAGTCCCTGGATCGAGTCCCTCATCGGGCTCCCTGCTTGGCGGGGAGTCTGCTTCTCCCTCTGACCCCCCCCCCATGTGCTTTCTCTCTCTCTCATTCTCTCTCTCTCAAATGAATAAATAAAATCTTTAAAAAAATAAAAAAAGATTTTATGCTGGATTCTTTTTTTTTTTTAAGATTTCTATTTATTTATTTGAGAGACAGAGATAGAAACAGAGATAGAGAGCACAGGAGCTGGGAGGAGAGGGAGAAGCAGGCTTCCCGCTGAGCAAGGAGTCCGATGTGGGACTCGATCCCAGGACCCTGGGATCATGACCTGAGCAGAAGGCAGATGCTTAACTGACTGAGTCACCCAGGCGCCCCTGTGTTGGATTCTTTATGTAGGTTACTTAATAGCACAGCAATTCTAAGACAATGGTATTTTTACCTAGATTTTAAGATGTGGAACATGCCCAGAGCAATGGTTCTCAAAGCAAAGTTGTCAAACCTTGGGGGTCTCTGAGAATCTTGGAGATCCAAGAGGTCAAGACTATTTCATACTAATACTTAGACTTTCTTTGCCTTTTTCACTGTGTTGACTCTGCACTGATGCTGTAAAGTGAAATGGTGGATAAAACTGCTGGTGCCTTAAAGAGCAGTGGGTATTATATGCAACTGATGAATCACTGAACTCTACCTCTGAAACCAATTATATATGTTAATTAATTGAATTTAAATTAAAAAGAAATTAAAAACCTGCTGGTGCCTTAGTATGTTTTGAAGCTCTGTCACCAAACTGTATCAGTATCATTTTTCTTAATCATCACAAATTTACAGTTAAAAAAAGTCAGTTTCTCAAACTCTTAGAAAATAGAAAGGTGATTGCCAGGGACTGGGGGGTATATGGAAAGGGGGAATATTGCTATTCTTTTTTTTTTTTTAATATTTTATGTATGTATGTATTTGAGAGAGAGAACTAGAGAAAGAGAGAGAGCACACACACAGGGAGAGGGAGAGAGAGAGAGAAGCAGGCTCCACACTGAGTAGGGAGCCCGAGTCGGGGCTTCATCCCAGGACCCTGAGATCATGACCCAAGCCGAAGGCAGATGCCTAACCGACTGAACACCCAGATGCCCTGGGAATATTGTTATTCAGTAGGTACAGAGTTTAGTTTAGTGAGATGAAAAAGTACTAGTCATCTGTTATACTGCTGTGTGCATATAGTGACTACTGAACTGTATACTTAAACATGGCTAAAAAGGGCACATTTTATGTTTTTTTAAAAGTTTATTTTTTTACTAATCTCTACACCCAATGTGGGCCTTGAACTCAGGGTCCTGAGATCAAGAGTCCCATGCTCTTCCAACTCTTCAACTGAGCCAGTTAGGTGCCGCCTCCACCCCCACCCCCACCCTGCCCCCGCAAGGCACATTTTATGTTAGGTGTTTTTTACCACAAAATATCTATAGCAAATTAAAAATAGAGTCAGCTTCCCCTAAGAATGCCCTTGATGAAGAAATAAAAGTCATTAATTTCACTAATTCTCAACTTTTGAGTATCCATCTTCTTAATATTTTTTGTGACAAAGTGAGAAGTGCACATAAAGTACTTTTTAAGCATGCAAAAGTACAGCATTTGTCTCCAGGAAAAGCACTTACACAACTGTCTGGAGTTATGAGCTGAAATAGCCACATTTTTTCATGAAATACTCTAACTTGAAAGAATGGCTGTTATCTTTACCAACTGTATCTGTGTGGGATTGGATTTTCTTCATTTACTTAAAACAACATATAGCAACAGATTGAATACAGGAGCAGTGTGAGAATTGAACTGTCATCTATTAAATCAGACGTTAAAGAGATTTGCAAAAAAATGTAGAACAATGCCACTTCTCCCCAATTATTTTGGAAAATAGTTATTTTTTTAAAAAAGAGTTTATTTTTTGAGAGAGAGAGAAAGAGAGCACAAGCAGGGGGAGAGCAGGGAGAGGGAGAAGCAGGCTCCCCATTGAGCAGGGAACCCAATGTGGGGCTTGATCCCAGGGCCCTAGGATGACCTGAGCCAAAGGCAGATGCTTAACCGACTGAGCCACCCAGGCACCCCCCAAAAATAGTTATTTTTCAAAGATTTTATTTATTTATTTGAGAGGGAGAGAATGAGAGATAGAGAGCATGGGAGGGAAGAGGATCAGAGGGAGAAGCAGACTCCCTGCTGAGCAGGGAGCCTGATGCGGGACTCGATCCCGGGACTCCAGGATCATGACCTGAGCTGAAGGCAGTTGCTTAACCAACTGAGCCACCCAGGCGCCCAAAATAGTTATTTTTCATAAAAATACATTATTAATGTTAACATGTATTGGGGTTATTATTTTGAAATGTATTATTTCATTATGATATTATAATTATATAAATTATAAATATATTTATAATTTGTCCCAGTTTTAATTTTAGTACAGTAAGTATCAATAGATGTCATGCATAGACATAAAAGTTATTTGGGGTTCTGAATAATTTTTAAAATTGTAAAGGAGTCACAAAACCAAAATGTTTTGAGAACCAGTAGTTTAGAGGAAAGAAGACAAATAATTCTGCTACTTCTCTCGCCATATTACCAGTATTCAACTCCCTTTCAATCACTCATTCAACATTTACTTAGTGGATATGATTTATTTGCTAGGCATTGTGCTAGACACTGGGAACTCTGACATGAAACTCTTAATTTTTGAAGACTTTATTTTTAAGTAATCTCTACACCCAAGTGGGCCTCGAACTTAAAACCCCAAGATCCAAAGTCACAGGCTCTACTGACTGAGCCAGCCAGATGCTGACTCTTGACATGAAACACTTTGCTGTCTGTGAGATCCCACACTGGGAGAAATAGACATGCCAGCAAATTATCACTCAATGAGTGCTATATTCTGAGAACACAGAGGACAGAGCAACTGAACAATCTGCTCAAGGCTGAAGGCATTTTCCTGGGAGTTAAAATTTGACTTCAGACTTGGAGGGGTGGAGTAAAGGAGTGGAGTATGGATGATGACAGCATTGCAGGTTGAGGAGCTAGCAGGACCATGGTCTTCTGGGAAGGGGAAGAAGTCAGCTTGATGAGCAACATTGAAGGAAGAAGGAACTGCGCTTTTCATGAGACGAGAAAGTAGGCAAACGCTAAATTATAAAATATCTTAAATTTTATCTTGCAGTTAACTAGGGACCAATAAGTTTTGAAGTAGAGGATTACTGTGACCAGCTTTGCGTTTTAGAAAGGTAACTCTAGTGGCAATTTTGGAGGATAGACTGGAGAGATCAGAGGTTGTGAAGTCCCATTTAAATTATGTTGGCTTTGAACTTTGATGGTAAACAAGGCAAGAGAAGATCTAGGAATTGAGAGACATTTCTGAGGTAGAGAATGCACAGAATTTATTGTCCCCCTGGACCTGCAAAGAGAGGAACTTGCAGATAATACCAAAGTTTTAGGCTTATGAGAATGAACATATGGTGGTTCTCTAACTCTGATGATTGAGAAAGTAGGCTGTGAAGGTAGATGGTAAGGTCCACCTTGGAGGTGCAGAGAAGTTACCTTGGGAACATCTGGGTGTCTAGATGTCCACAGGGCAACTGGATATAGGGTTGGATTCTAGCAAGAAATCTAAGTTGCAGATAAAGATTTAGAAGTTGTCAGAATAAGAGTGGTAGATTGCTGATGTCATCTTGGGAGAGCAGGGAGAGTGACAGGAGGACATGAAAACGCATTTAAATGGTGGTCAGGGAAGAAGCCAGCAGGGCAGAGAAAGCATGATCAAGAGAACTGGGAGACAGTGGGGTCTGAGAAGCCAAGGAAGTTTTGAGGACTAGGACATGGCCCAAAGCATCAAATGTTGCAGGATAGTCAGATGTATCAAGAGCTGAAAACAGGCTTTGGATGTGGCAGTTAACTGAGAAGTCACTGGTGACCTCAGGCAAAGCCATTTTATTTTGGATTTAGTTTTGATTTTGATGAAGTGAGTGACTCTGGCTTTAGAAATGGAAAACAGTGTGGAGAGACCAGAGGTCATAAGCCATTGTCAAGAAGACTATTCAGTTTACATCCACATCACTTTTTTTCCTCCACCTGTCCCTCATTTAGCTCAACTGCTTGGACTGTACAGGAATTTAAGTTAACATTAGAATAGATTATGTCAAGGGAGTGTAGGAAAAGCTGAAGATAGGGCAATAGGTTTAAGAGAAAAAGGTCAATGGAAGATTGTTTTTTTCTGGGGGTGGTGGTTAGGAAGGAGATAAACATTAAATGAATGAATAAATGGTGTGTGTGTCTCTTCAGTACCAGATGGAGGAAAATTGAGGACGTTTGTCTCTGTCAGATGACCTCTACGCTTTGTTGGGGGAAGAAATGAACGCTATTCACACAAGAGACAGATGGAGCAAGTGGCCCAGGTTGCTGGTGGTTTCTGCTTTATGCTTCATGTCTCCTAGAGCTGAAATTGAAGAGAGCCTTGAGGTGGTGGTTTAGGCTGGGTTTTGGTTTCAGGGCTTGGCTTTTCTAATTGTACATTCTCAACTTTATAGGTGTACTTCCTATTCCATCCCCTCCCATTCAATACCCACTGTACTTACCTTTTCTCAGTCTCCAACTATAGCCCTCCTTGTCCTGGGTACTCCAATTTAGATCCATAAGGAGGCTAAATTCATTCATCGTTTCAGCAAACAATGAGCAATGTGCACCTTCTGTAGACAGTGCTTAACCTCAAAAGAGCAATGGCAATTTGAGACCTCTTTGGAGCTTTGGCCCCAATGGGATTTGGTCTTTGGAGGGCTAGGAGAAGGAAAATCTGGGAGCAGGTGGAACCCAGTGACATGAGCAGTTCTTTAAGATTTTTATTTTTTTTAATTTTATTTTTTTTTAAGATTTTATTTATTTATTTGAGAGAGAGAGAATGAGAGATAGAGAGCACGAGAGGGAAGAGGGTCAGAGGGAGAAGCAGACTCCCCGCTGAGCAGGGAGCCCGATGTGGGACTCGATCCCGGGACTCCAGGATCATGACCTGAGCCGAAGGCAGTCACTTAACCAACTGAGCCACCCAGGCGCCCAGTTCTTTAAGATTTTTAAAAAATTTTATTTTTTTAAAGATTTATTTATTGGGATGCCTGGGTGGCTCAGTCGTTGGGCGTCTGCCTTTGGCTCAGGTCATGATCCTGGGGTCCTGGGATCGAGCCCCGTTATTGGGCTCCCTGCTCAGTGGGAAGCCTGCTCCTCCCACTCTCACTCCCCCTGCCTGTGTTCCCCTTCTCCCTGTCAAATAAATAAAAAATCTTAAAAAAAAATTTATTCATTAATTTTTTTTGAGAGAGAGCACAAGCAGGGGAAGTGGCAGGCAGAGGGAGAGGGAAAGCAAGCTCCCCACGGAGCAGGGAGCCCGATGTGGGGCTCCATCCCAGGACCCTGGGATCATGACCTGAGCTGAAGGCAGATGCTTAACTGACTGAGCCACCCAGGCGCCCCAAAATTTAAACTTGCATGCGTGCACAAGAGAGGGAGCATGAGTTGGGGGGAGGGGCAAGGGAGAAGCAGACTCCACAACGAGCTGGGAGCCCCATGTGGGACTCAATCCCAGTTCCCTGGGATCCTGACCTGGGCCGAAGGCAGATGCTTGACCGACTGAGCTGCCCAGGTGCCCGAAATGAGCAGTTCTGACTCATGGTTTCTTTTCATTCTTGGTAAAGGTGGTGTACTAATCAAAGCCATTCTCTGAAGTGACAAGAGGAAAGTGAGTCATTTGGTGAGGCCACCTGGATTGAAACTGGGCTGCTTGCCCGAGGAGTACATGAGGAAGGAACTGTCCTACCATGCCGTCAGCCTGAAGTCTACTTATATGTGGTTCATACACAGTAAATCCTTGTAGGGATAACTGACTGGGATGCAACTGCTTGTCCTTGAATATATGCAAGGAGTGATTACATAACTTACCTTAACCTTTAGGAAGGGACTTTACCTCCCAGGTTCTTCACTGGTAACAGGAGTGCATTCCCCTTACCTCCCCGACTAGGGGTGAGATAAATAGGATAAAGGGCCTGGTGCCAGGGCGCCTGGGTGGCTCAGTCGCTAAGCGTCTGCCTTCGGCTCAGGTCATGGTCCCAGGGTCCTGGGATCGAGCCCCGCATCGGGCTCCCTCCTCGGCGGGAAGCCTGCTCTCCCTCTCCCACTCCCGCGGCTTGTGTTCCTGCTCTCGCTGTGTCTCTGTCAAATAAATAAAATCTTTAAAAAAAAAAAAAAAAAAGGACCTGGTGCCATAGCTGGTATATACCATGGGGGTGGGGTGGGGTGGTCACAGTTGGGTTTCCTCTCTCTGCAGCCCATTCTTTTTCCATATGTGTACACAGACAGACAGAAACTTGACTGACCTTACCTCTGGCTACACTTAATATTCTTAGTATTTTTTCCCCCTCATCTACTTCTCATTTAGGGAGTCTGGCAGTATTTTAGGTATCATTTATAAGCTAGCTTAAATCTTTTGGAATAAGGTAGAACATTAAAAAAAATAAGCACTTCATACCAGAATAGTATAGTTTAGCTTTTTTTTAATTCTAAAATACTTTATAATTAATATTGATAGGAAGACTGATATACAATGCAATTATTTACTTTACAAGGAGATTCTGTACATCAGGGAAGCATCTTGAAGTACAATACATCCAATTTTTATTTCTTCTTTACATTATGATTGTGAATTGTTACACAAAAAGGGAACAAAAAATCCATTATATATATATATATGTATATATAAAAAACACCTGAAAAGACCCCCAAAGCATCTTGTTTCAAAAGAACATGATGAGATGAAAGATGAACTAGAGTCCTTGGTGGCACAAAGAAAGCAGACAAGTAGCTCAGGAAATCAAATCGTGTTTCAAACTTGGCACATTAAGGGCAAGCCAGGCAGCGGAAGAGGGGTTGAATATGTCACTTCAAGTCACAGAGAATTCTGGTATAAGCCAAACAGTCTCCAAACTAACAGAAAGAAGTCATGTGTGTGGCTACCTTAAATACAGACCTCTAACAACTGTGTAGAATTGTCACTTTTCCTGCAGTCACACCAAATGTGATGAGCTTCAAGGAGCTGTGGCCCCACGACAGCTCCATACCCACAAAGCATTTGACAGTAACTGAAAAATCTGAATACTTCCCTATTCCCCATACAAAGAGAAAATACTACCTTTTAAAAAGGTCACCTCACCTCTGTTTTGACCAGATATTCTGAGTTTTCAGCAATTATTATAGGGACATAAAAGAAAACGAGGAACATCTATGAACAGCTGTAGCAGAACAGGGACTGCAGAAGAAATCTGTGAAAGAGCCACAATTTTCTGAACATTAAGGGGAAAAAAAGCCACATTCATCAGTTAAATAGGAACTATTTTTTTCTTCCATTTAGTACGGACAGGTATTAGAAGGAAACGGTGAGGCTGTATGGTTTTCAAAATAAAAACTCAAAGCAAATGAATTTTCTGTTTTAGGAAATCATGTTAATGTATATTACAAATACAAAAAGGGGTGGGGGCTGAGCCAAGGCCCGGGCACCAACGACATTGGCGACTGCTTGGCAGAGAGGGCCAACAGCACTGAGGAGAAGGGAGGAGGAGCGGGTCATGATTGTGTCCCTCCTACTTCCTCCTCCAGAGACCCCTTCCGGTCCAGCACCCCGGGTTCCGAGACCTTGCAGTGATTCTGGCTGGAAGCGTGGGGGCCCAAGGAGGACGGCTGCTCCCACAGTCTTTCAAAACTCTTTTTTATTGGAGGAGGCTACATCTATTGGTCAGAATAATTTAGAATATCATTTGGTATGACGAAAGTACAATAGCTTATAAAATTTAAGCCATGAGTGAGTTTTCTGACAAGTTGGCATTAACAATAAAGGCCTTTTTTGGTTTTGGTTTTGTATATAGAAAACATACATGCTTTCTCATTTTCCGAACTTGGAATCTAGTTGCAGCTCAGATTGTTTAATAGATAGGAAAAATGTAAGTTTCCAGCACTTCTTCAAGACTTTTTTTTTTTTTAATTTTAAAAATAAAAATTAGGATGACTTGTGCCAAAAAGTTGGAACACGTCAGATCCTGAGCTTCTCTGAGGCTGGACTGCCTGAAGAGGACTATACTGCTGTCTTATGAGAGGCATAGTGTGATGCTTTCAACTGACGTGCCAGTGTGGTGTGGAGGCGTGCCCTGGAGGTGGGGGCCCCTTTGCCAGAAGGCTGGGGGCCTCCAGAAGGTTCTTCCCACTACCAGCTGGATTTGACAGCTGGAATTTGGTACCTACACAAGGGGATCTCACAACCAGGACCGAGCAGGTAAGGCTAATGGTGCAAACTGTGCCCCAGCGCAGGCAGTCATCTTGGGGCGAGGGTGGCTGGTGAGGAAGACCCCTCAAGTATGCTGCAATATTACAAGGTTCAAGAGCACTGAAAAAGTGTTCAGTTTTGTCCAAAGCAGCACATGACCACCCATTCCAGTGAAATGCTACATTCATAGAAGTGCTGTTCGCCCCAGAACTACATCCCAGAGGACTCAATCCTGGCTGTGCTGAGAAGTGTAGAAATTCCTTTCACGTCACTCTGGAAACTGAAGCAGCCAAGCAGTCCTGTGTTGGGGAGTTGTTTAGTTCCTCTCTCAGACTTCAGCATCATGGACGATGGTAGCTAAAACAAGATGAGCAAAAAGGGCTGAGTTATCAAATACTGTAGATTATTTTGCTACTATTACACTCTCATTTTTCAAAATTGCCTCTCTGCTACTCTAATTCTACCTGACCTTTCTTCTTCTTTTCTTAAAAGTAATCTCCAGGGCGCCTGGGTGGCTCAGTTGGTTAAGCGACTGCCTTCGGCTCAGGTCATGATCCTGGAGTCCCGGGATCGAGTCCCGCATCGGGCTCCCTGCTCAGCAGGGAGTCTGCTTCTCCCTCTGACCTTTCCCCCCTCTCATGAACTCTCTCTCTCTCTCTCATTCTCTCTCTCAAATAAATAAATAAAATCTTTAAAAAAAATAAATAAATAAATAAAAGTAATCTCCACACCCAGTGTGGGGCTTGAACTCACAACCTTGAGATCAGATGCTCTATCGACCGAGCTAGCCAGGCGCCCTGTTTTCCTTCTTTAATTGCTTTTCCTCAGAATGCTTTCCTGGTTCATTTTCTTTCTTTTTTTTTTTTTTTTTTTAAGATTTTTTTTTTTTTTTTTAGTGACAGAAAGAGAGCACGAGAGGGAGGGAAGAGGGTCAGAGGGAGAAGCAGACTCCCTGCCAAGCAGGGAGCCTGATGTGGGACTCGATCCCAGGACTCCAGGATCACAACCTGAGCCAAAGGCAGTCGCTCAACCAACTGAGCCACCCAGGCGCCCTTTCCTGGTTCATTTTCGTCTGTCCATCCTTTAAATACAATTTTCCCCTTAAGAACCACTATCTTTTCTCATAATTTTCTACTTGAGGCTTTGCCTTCTCCCTGGACTCGTAGCCTGAACATCCAACTGTCTTCTATGCTTCTCCATCCACCTCAATGTGTCATAGGTTTGTCAAGCTCAACATACACAGTGTATTTTCCAGTTTGTTTACTGTCTGCCTTCCCCTTTTAGAATAAAAGCTCATTGGGCACCTGGGTGGCTCAGTTGGTTAAGCGACTGCCTTTGGCTCAGGTCATGGTCCCAGGGTTCTGGGATCGAGTCCCACATCGGGCTCCCTGCTCGGCAGGGAGCCTGCTTCTCTTTCTCCCTCTGCTTGCCGCTCCCCTTGCTAGTGCTCTCTCTGTCGAATAAATAAATAAAATCTTAAAAAAAAAAAAATAAAAGCTCATTGAGGACGGGAACTTTATCTTGTTCCAGGCTATATTCCAAGGACCTAGAACTGCTATCTACCAGGTAGTAGGTACTCAATAAATATTTGCTAAATAAATGTCCTAACGTGTTCACCTCAACTCCTCATCGACTTCATAAACCTCAAAAATCACAAGTTTGAAATCTTAAGAGTCACTTGACTACTTCCTTTAATTCATCCCTGGAATCAAGAGATAACCCAATCTTGAGTCTATGCTTGAAATGTGTTTTTTTTTGTTTGTTTTCAAAGATTTTATCTGAGAGAGAGCACGCACGAGCAGGGGGAGATGCAGAGGAAGAGGGAGAAACAGACTTACTGCTGAGTGTGGAGTCCTGATGCAGGGCTCAATCCCAGGACCCCGAGATCACAACCTGAGCCGAATCAGACACTTAACCAACTGAGCCGCCCAGGCACCCCCTATGCTTGAAATGTTGTTCAAACCTCTCTCTTGCATTGTCATGATCACTTCCTGGTTTGAGCTACCAGTGAGCTCACTGTGACTATCTTAGTTATTTCGTAACTAGTTTCCTTGCTGCTAGCTAGTTTCTTCAGCTTTCCATGTCACCTTCCATAGTTCCACCAGAGTTCCATCTGAAATACTCAACTCCAGTGGTTCCTGTGTCCTGGCATAACAGGCAAAGCTCTTCAGAGTGTGACCATAACCCAGCGTGCCGGTTTCCTCTTCACCACACTGCTCCCATGTGTCCCTTGCTCCAGCTACATTTTCTGTCACCCAGAGACAATGCACACTTTCTCACCTTCCACAGCCTTGTTAATGCCAGTCCTTCTGCTTAGAATGCTGCTTGGTAATGCTGGTTCTTTCCTTCCTTCCTTGTCCAAATAAATTCTTTCACATGCTTTAAGAGCCGGTCTAAGCATTACCTTCTCTATGACTCTTTCCTTTAATGTTGCTCACTGTAGTACTTTATTACTATTATAATAACAATGAGAATGGCTAATACTGACACAGCCAGGAAATAGTGGAGTTGGGATATGAGACCTGGCAGATTCAAGATTCAGAATGACTGCGGCATTTATCTTACTGACTGCACTATATTGAGTAGTATACAGGTCTTTTTCTAGATTAGACCACAGCCTCCTTGCTGTCAAGTATGGCTTGTTATTTGAGTTCGTATTACAATGGCCCGAATAGTGTTATTGCTGTTCAAAAAATTTGCCTTCTCTACTCCTATCAGAGTTCAGTACAAAAAAATTCTGTAATTAAAAGAACCAGGGCACCTGAGTGGCTCAGTCGGTTGAGCATCCAACTCTTGGTTTCAGCTCAGGTCATGGTCTCAGGGTCATGGGATTGAGCCCCGTGTCAGGGTCCGTGATTGGTGTGGAGTCTGCTTGAGATTCTCTCTCTCCCCCTCTGTCCCTCCCCCTGCTCACGCATGCTCTCTAAAATGAATAAATCTTAAAAAAAAAAATAAAAGCACCATTTGCCTGTATTGTGATGGAAAAATGTTTAACAATATTTTATTTTCCAACTTTGCTTATTTGCTTTTTATTAGCAAACTGTAATTGTCATTGTATCTTCCCTCATTTAGCCTCTAAAAGTTTATTTTTAGTAATTTCTATATCCAACGTGGGGCTTGAACTCACGACCCCGAGATTAAGAGTTGCATGCTCTTCCAACTGAGCCAGCCAGGCACCTCTGGCTTTTTATAAATGTTCTGAGAGTCACCTACACACTTCCACAGATTCCATTTGTAGCCAGCTGATTCTTTAGGTATTGGGTGGGTCCTTAATTCCACAGCAAAATACTTCTTGGTTTGTTTCATGAAGATAGCTAACTAAAATGAAATTTATACACTAAATTGGAAGATCAGCAGTGCTAGAAATAACTGAAATCAAAGAGGCTGAGGTCTTGTCTACCTCAACAACAATTTCCTCATACACACCCTGGGACAGTGAGGTGCAGGAAAAGAGCACCCAGGGCCTTTCAGTCAGTCATTCTTTTCTCCAGTCCTCGTTCTGCAACTTAATGAAATCTTCTGGGCCTGTTTCATTTCTTTTTTCTTTCTTTCTTTCTTTTTTTTTTTTAAAGTAAGCTCTACACCCAGTGTGGGGCTTCAATTTACAACCCCCCAGATCAAGAGTCTCGTGCTCCACCGACTGAGCCAGCCAGGTGCACCTGGCCTGTTTCTTCATCAACAAAATCAACAAAGATATTAACAAAGCCTCCAGGTTTATTGCAAGGATTAAATAATATACATAAAATACTACACTGCCTACTGCCTACTGGTCCTCATCCCTTTCTCTGAATGCAGTCTCGCAGTCAGCATGCTGTGTCCTTTTAATGATGTCGCTAGAGTCCTTCCCATTGGAACAACTCTGGGATGTCTGTGTTGTGGTGGAGCTCTACTTAGTTCACGGTGTTTGGGTCTTCTGGGTCTTACCGTGTAAAACGTTTGCTCTCTTCATGAACCTCCATCTCTGAGCTTTTAAATTCATTTAATTCTTTTCTTATGGCAGCCTGTGGAGTAGAAACAAAAATGTCTCAGCATCTTCTGTCTGCCATAGTATAGCTGTGTCATCTGCCATCTGTTCTCTATCGTGCTTAACTTCATGAGCCACGGCAACCCACAGAGGGCAAGCCAGAGCGGGGAAAGAAGCCAGGTCTGCACGCTGAGCCTGATACACACATCGCCTTCCCCGCCACCATTCCTCTAATAAACCGAATGTCCCCCCTTAAACCAAAACACTCACAGAGCTTAAAAGAGATATTGTAGCTTTTATAGTTTCCATAGCACGTAAAAATGCTTTTCCTGTTATCAAAATGAAATATGGGTAATTACTAAAATATACCACCCAAACTCTCTCCAGCCAAACCTAACCATTGCTAAAATATGTTTTCATTTCCTTCCAGATCTGTGGCCTCTGTGATATAGCAAGGGTTTTCTTTCCTTTTGGTTGCGGTGGTCGTGGTGGCTGTGGAGTTGTTAGTATAAAGCTTAGGTTCATACATCTTGGCATTTTCCTATCTTGATTAGAAATTTAACATTGTATCAAAAGTGAAAACTTTATGGTTTCCCCTTTTAGTTAGTGTCTTACAATTCTTCAAATAGAGAGAAAGATAGACAAACAGCCACCTACCTTGTCAGCAGGGGTCAGTTTGGTCCAAGGTTTGTCGGCTCGCCGGTCATAATCTTGAGCATCTGTTACTTCCACGTATTCATTAAACCTCAGGATCTTCCTGGCAAGTAGTTCAGCCACAGTCGGCCTTTGACTGAGCTGAAAGAAATGGAGCCTCTTAATTCAATGTCAGGAATTTGGCATCAAGCATGCATTCATATTGCTTCTAACCCAGAGCTTCAGCCTCAGCGGCACATTAGAATTACCTGGGGGCCTTTAGACACTACCGATTCCTGGGTCCATTCCCAGAGATTCTGGGTATTGGGAGGTTTTGTTTCATTTTTAAAGCTCCTGAATGCACAGCTAAGACTGAGAACCACAGCTATAAACCAGTATAACCAGTATAACTGGTGCTTCTCAAACTTTAATATGCATACAGATTGTCTGGGGACCTGTTTAAAATGCAGATTCTGATTAAGCAGGTCTGAGGTGGGGCCTGAGATTCTGCATCTCTTGCAAGCTCCCAGGTGATGCCAGTGCTGCTGGTCTGTGGACCACATTTTGGGTAGCCCAAGGATTAGGACTGTAAACTCATATATAATACATTAGAAGGTGAGTACGTTTATTTTTTATTTTTATTTTTTAAAAAATATTTTATTTGAGAGAGAGAGATAGCAAGAGAGAGAGCACAAACGGGGGGAGAGGGAGAAGCAGGCTCCCCACTGAACAGAGAGCCCTGACATGGGGCTCAATCCCAGAACCCTGAGATCATGACCAGAGCCGAAGGCAGATGCTTAACTGACTGAGCCACCCATGCACCCCGAAAGAACATTTAATATGAAAGCAATATCTAGTGGGTAATGTAAAGGGTACATTTCCTTTTACTATGAATGCCGAGATTCGGTAATGAATTATGATTTAAGGTTGCACAATCAGGTAACCTAGTCAATCTGAAGGCATCAAGTCCAGCTGTGGCATCTAGCTACTCTATCAAGAATGTTCTTCTGGGGCACCTGGGTGGCTCAGTCGTTAAGCGTCCGCCTTCGGCTCAGGTCATGATCCCAGGGTCCTGGGATCGAGCCCCGCATCGGGCTCCCTGCTCTGTGGGAAGCCTGCTTCTCCCTCTCCCACTCCCCCTGCTTATGTTCCCTCTCTCGCTGTGTCTCTCTCTGTCAAATAAATAAATAAGAATCTTAAAAAAAAAAAAGAATGATTCTTCTATTCCTGGGGAAGGCAAAAAGTGGAAAATAAGGAAGAAAATGTCTAGATCCTTGGCTTTTCTGGGGATTCTTATAAGTTTTAAGAAATATCTAGAGAATTCAGGCCAAATCAGAATCGATCAGAGGCAATTATGAACTATTATGGTGGGAAGGAAAGGAAAAAGGGATTAATCCCCAAGCTTAAAAACTAACATAGGTCTGGTACAGAAAAGATTCTACCCCATTTGATCTGGAACCAAGAACAAAATCCCGTTGGTGTTCTTCATACTTTTCCGGTATCACTAAGGGTCAGTTCAGTTCCTTCTGATTAGAAAACCACCAGTGTGCCAGGCAAAACTGAATGATACACACTCCCTCTATTACCGTCTCTATATTTCAACAGGTTTTAGAGTCTACATCAAAATCCTAGGTTTACCAAATGAAAGGTCAGAATTTATGCAAACATTAACGGGGCATCTTCTTGTGCCAGGCGTTCTTTAAATAGTAAAAATGAGAAAAAAAACAGGCTCTTGATAATGCTGTGTTGTTTTCAGTATCTGCATCATGGATTCTATTTTCACAAATTCATTTCTTTTTATTTTTTTAAAAACATTTTCTTTCTTTTTTTAAAAATTTTTATTTACTTATTTGACAGAGAGAGAAACACACAGAGCGAGAGAGGGAACACAAGCACGGGGAGCGGGAGAGGGAGAAGCAGGCTTCCCACTGAGCAGGGAAGTGGATGAGGGGCTTGATCCCAGGACCCTCGGAGCATTACCTGAGCTGAAGGCAGACGCTTAACGACTGAGCCACCCAGGTGCCCCAAAAACATTTTATTTATTTGAGAGAGAGAGAGAGAGAGAGAAAGAATGAGTGAGGGGGAGGGCAGAGGGAGAAGCAGGCTTCCCGCTGAGCAGGGAGCCTGATTCTGGGCTTGATCCCAGGACCCTGGGATCATGACTTGAGCTGAAGGCAGAAGTTTAACTGAGCCATCCAGGTGCCCCAAATTCATTTCTTTCTAACCAAATAGATCATTCAAACACAAGATATGTGATTAGTAGACAGACTGAAACCAAACACTTGAGCTACGTACCTTTCTAGTGAGCCGACGTTTAATCTCTCGTTTTTCTGCTTGCCGATCAGCTTCATTTTTAGCTACAGTCAATAGTCCAAGACAAAGAATATGACTTCAAAACAGGAATTTGCCTATCAAAGTTTTCAGCAATTACAGGGCAGATATTTCTTATACGCTCCAAGTCAGAATAAAATACTAACTTTGGGGATGGCTAATCAAGACAATTTTCTTGTTAACTGGTAATAGCTGAATACTTAAAAGCAAGGGTCAGCAACACTATGGTACCAAATCCAGCCAGATGGCAGCAGCCCATGAGCTAAGAATGGTCTTTACATTTTTAAATGATTATATATTGAATGGCTTGGTAAGTACCTACATAATAGCTTCCTTTTGCTTTTGGCCTGCAAAGCTAAACATATTTACTGTGTGCCCCTTAGAAAAACTCTGCAGATTTCTGCTCAAGAGTAACCACCAAGAATGAAGAATGGAGATCACACTAAGTTTCGTGTGATACGTCTATAAAGGTTCCCAAGTTTAAAACTCACTTAGTGACTAAACTGTATGTATGATGAGAGAACAAGGGATGGACTGGTCAGACTGAGTGTGCCCACGAGTGACTCTATGAAGCCTAATTCTCTCAATGTGGAGGCTTTTAAGGGCAAATTTCACCCCAGAGTCTGGAAAACGGAATCAAATGTGTATTAGATCACAATGCTATTTTAGGAAGATAATTATGAACACAGAAAGAAAATGAAATACATGTTCCTGTTTCATGACTTCAGATGTATGAAAGTCTTCAGAGATGGAAAAGGCATCTGGGCCTTGCTTTGGGCCCCAGCCCTCAAAGTCCACTAGGAACAGGAAAGGTCCCCTCCAAATGTACAGCCTCTACCTTCCCCGAAGACAGAGAAAGTCGAGCAGCATCTACCACATGCTATGAAATCCTCCCACATGGCCAAGGCAGTCTCATGATACTGTGAGAACATCAGAACAGAATTTTCTGGCGGTTCCCAGGACACTAAGCAATACCACAACGATATCTTGTAAAGGAAGCTCGGGGGAACTCTGTTCCTTCAGGGGAAAGGATAGGAGTGGTCCTTCCTGGGCTGGAACACCCACTCCTTGGCCCTTGTAGAAAGTGCTTCTCTTCTCTAGCATGTATATAAAAGTCAGAAATATAAAGTCTGAGAAACTCTATACAACTTTATTCCCAGAGCTGGACTCACGTTGTAGTATATTTCGCTGTTCTAGTTCTTCCGGTGTCGGTCTTTGACTCAGCCGTCTAAAAAGGAGATAAATAAGGGTATTGTTCATGTTAAACCTCCCAATCCTGCTTATAAAGATTTGTTTTGGTCTCAGTTTATATTAGCCCCTACATTAGCAAGAAAGCAAGAGGTTTTCAAACTGTTTTGGTATTTCATTTCTCTGATTGTTTATGAAACAATTCTCATGTTGAAAGTGTTAATACAGATACTACAACATAAAATGGAATTGTACAGGCAAACAGGAGGCCAAAATTCCAGTTCTAGCTCTGATATTAATGAGCCCTGTCACCACAAAAAAGCTGTTAGATCCTGAGTGTACTCATCTGTAAAATGAAGGTTTGGACTGGACTGGTAGCTCCCAAACAGATTTGCTGAAGGACCACAGAATTTCAAGGCATATTATAGAAATTCTGATTCAGAAAACCAGGCATGAGGACTGAGATTTTCATATATGTATTTTTACAATCCTTCCCACATGACTCTGATGTCTTTCTTTTGAGTTTCAAGCCAGTGATTTAGCAACCACTGTAATTTAAGATTTTCTCTTTTGAAATGATATTCTGTAATTCTATGATTTTAATTTCAGTTCTCTCTGAAATACTGATGAAGTTTCTCATCTCATCCACAGTTCTGAGATGTTACTCACCAACAATAACTTGTCATCTCTGGAATCAGACAGTTTTTCACTTGTTACCTTTGATTTACACTTCAGGCAGTATTTGAACTGCATGCTTACTTTAACTCTTTAGCTGCCTGCCTAGAGAACTTCCAGCCCCATTTTATATACAATTTACAACATTCTTTATGTATTTCAAAGCTTTTTTTGGTCCCTCTGAATAAGACCTTCCTTTTTAAATGTTCATTAAAACAAAACAAAAAATCCCACAGTCCAGTAATGTATAAATGACATAAACTGCATGATTTGATGTTTTTATATGTGTATATACCTGGGAAACCATCACCACAATTGTAATGAACATACCCATCAACCTTGTACTGGTTTCCTAGGGCTGCCATAACAAATTACCACGAATTGGGTGGCTTAAAACCACACAAATTTATTCTCTCACAGTTCTGGAGGCCACAAGTCCAAAATCAAGGTGTGGGCAAGGTTGGTTCCTCCTGAAGCCTCTAAAGGAGATCTGTCCTATGCCTCTCTCCTAGTTTCTGGTGGGGTTGCCAGCAGTCCTTGGTATTCCTTGGTGTACAGACGCACCACTCCAACCTCTGCCTCCATACTCACATAGCATTCTCCTTGCGTGTGTGTTTGAATCTCTGTCCCCAAATTTCCCTCGTCCTTTTTTTTTTAAAATATATAATTAAAAAAAAATATATATATATATATAAAGTAGTCTCTATGCCCAACATGGTGCCTGAACTCATGACCCTGAGATCAAGAGTCGAATGTTCCACCAACTGAGTCACCCAGGCACCCACCCCTTGCCCTTTGATGGATATTTGTGTTGGCTGGATCCCATGTTTGATTTTTTTAAGGAAACTTACAAATTATTTTCCAAAGTAGTTCTACTATTTTACATTCCTTCCACCAGTGTCTGAGAATCCAGCTGCTCCTTATCCTTAGCAACTCTTGTCTTTTAAATTGTACCTTTTTAGCCAGCCCAGTGAGTTTGTAGTGGCGTCTCACTGTGGTTTTAATTTGCATTTCCCTAATGACTAATGATGTTGAGCATCTTTCCCTATGCTTATCTGCCATCTGTATATCCTCTTTGAAATCTTCTGCTCCCCACTATATAAAAAGTGGGTGGTGGTTTTCTTATTAAGTTCGGAGAGTTCTTCATATATTCTAGATATAAGACCTTGATCAGATACATGGTTTGCAAATACTTTCTCCCAGTTTGTGGCTTGTTTTTACATTCTCTTCAGTGTCTTTCAAAGAACAAAAATGGTTAAAAAAATTTTTTTAAAGATTTTATTTATTTATTTGAGAGACAGAGAGTGAGCAAGAGAGAGAGAGAGAGAGAGAGCACAAGAGCAGGGAGGGGCGGAGGAAGAGGGAGGAACAGGCTCCCCACTGAGCAGGGAGCCCAATGTGGGACTCGATCCCAGGACCCCCAGGATCAGAACCTAAGCCAAAGGCAGATGCTTCTGGCCACCCAGGCACCCCAAAAATGTTTAATATTTTCTGAAGTGCAGTTTATCAATGTTTTCCTCTTAAGAATCATGCTTTTGAGATCATATCTGAGAAATCTTTGTCCAACTCATATACTCTAGAAGTTTTGTAGTTTTGGCTCTCATATTTAAACCTAGGATTCATTTTGAATTAATTTTTTGCATGTGATGCAAGGTATGAATTGAAGTAACTTTTGTGCCAGCACCATTTGTTGAAAAGACCATGAAATTATCTTTGTACCTTTGTCAAAAATGGGCTGTACATATGGGTGGGTATATTTCTGGACTCTCTTTTCTGTTCTGTTTATCTTTATGTCAACACCATACTGATTAGGGTTACTTTAGCTTTCTAATACGTCTTCAATCAGATTGTTAGTCTTCCAACTCTGTTCTTTTCCTTAGTTGCTTTGGTTATTCTAGTGTGCTTTGTATTTCCATAAGAATTTTAAAATCAGGGGCACCTGGGTGGCTCAGTCGTTAAGCGCCTGCCTTCGGCTCAGGTCATGATCCCAGGGTCCTGGGATCGAGCCCCACATCGGGCTCCCTGCTCGGCAGGGAGCCTGCTTCTCCCTCTCCCACTCCCCCTACTTGTGTTCTCTCTTGCTGTCTCTCTCTGTCAAAAATAAATAAATAAAATCTTAAAAAAAAAAAAAGATTGCTATCCTGGCCAACAGTAAAGCCAGGTGTCTGAGGCAGGAAAGGAGAATATGTCTTAACTAATGGACATCCTAATTATTTTGTTAAGAATATGCCAAGATTTTTTTCCTCACTCTACCAAAAGAAACATCTGAGTGGTTCAAACACCCGTCTATATACCTGGACTCTATGTACATGACATGTGTAGGAAGCTGGACTGCATTCAGCTTCTCTATGCTTTTGGTTTCAGCTGACTTGAAAAATATACTAATACTTTGGGGCGCCTGGTTGGATCAGTCACGGGAAGCCTGCTTCTCCCTCTCCCACTCCCCCTGCTTGTGTTCCCTCTCTTGCTGTGTTTCTGTCAAATAAATAAATAAAATCTTAAAAAAAAAGGAAAGAAAAATATAGTAACACTTTGAAAGAAGGCAGTTATGTGGAACATGTGAAATAGATACAATGGAAAATATGGGTGTGATCTTTAATTGGGTTGGCACCTTGTAGTTGAGCAACTGGATAAATGACAGAGGAGTCTTGCTGTCCTGGGAAGCATCTGAATTCTCTAGAAACTTAAAAAAAATTTTTTTTAAAGTAAACTCTATGCCCAATGTGGGGCTTGAACTCACCACTCCCAGATCAAGAGTCACATGCTCCACTGACTCAGCCAGCTTCTTTAGAAACTTTTTAAAAGCACTATTTAGGGGCACCTGGGTGGCTCAGTTGGTTAAGCATCTGCCTTTAGATCAGGTCATGATCTTGCATTCCTGGGATGGAGCCCTGAGTCAGGCTCTCTGCTCAGCGGGGAGTCTGGTTGTCCCTCTACCTCTGCCCCTCTCCCCCGGTCATGCTCTGTCTCTCTCTCAAATAAATAAATAAATAAATAAATAAATAAATAAAATCCTCAAAAAAATCAAATAAAATAAAAGCCATATTTATATCTATCTTGTGGGGTAAAGCTGTGAAATATGTCTATCTTATGGTTTAAAGCTCCAAGAGTCATTTGGTTCCTTAATTTCCAAATTCCTAGAGGATACCCAACTGTGTAGAATGTGTATTTTTAAAAATTATGTGGTTTCTAAAAATTAAAAAAGAAAAAAGATAAAAGTGAATGCTCTACCACGAAGTAAGTCTCTAACACACCTAATGGCAAAATCAAATCAAATCAGTCTTTTCTAAGCCAAGGCTTACCGGATCAGTGTGTTCCCAATCTGGTGCCGTATTTCATTCCATTCCTCTTTGCTTTTCCGAGGCCAAGAATTCATGTTCAACTCTGGTTCACTGGGTCTGTGGTTCAACTTCATTGCCAGTGTGTCCTTCCTCTTCACTTTGTTGGCCAGAGCACCTTTGTGTAAGGGAAAGAAAAAAAAGTAGACGCTAAGGCTCAACCTCACCCGGAACTAGGCAGGAGTCTGAACAAACAGTATCGCATCTACCAGCTAACGGAGAGGTGGGGGGTAAAGCAGAAGACATCTAAAAATCTAATTAAGTCAGATGGACTCAGCTGGGCCAAAGGTATCTTCTCCCTTCTATATTCCTCTACATTTCTTCTAAGTAAGAGTTGCTAGAGGAGAGAGTCTAAACATGGGACAGCCCTTTGAATGACAACATAAAGGCATTTGCACTAATACATTTCATAAGATTCCTATTTTTTTTTTTTTTAAATAGGCTCTATGCCCAATGTAGGGCTTGAACTCATGACACTGAGATCAAGAGTCACATGCTTTACCAACTGAACCAGACAGGAGCCCCAGGATTCCTATTCTTTTTTTTTTTTTTTTAAGATTTTATTTATTTATTTGAGAGAGAGAGAGAAAGCACAAGCAGGGGGAGCAGCAGAGGGAGAGGGAGAAGCAGGCTCCCCGCTGAGCAGCAAGCCCTACATGGGGCTCGATCCCAGGACCCTGGGATCATGATCTGAGCCGAAGGCAGACACTTAACCGACTGAGCCACCCAGGTGCCCCAAGATTCCTATTCTTAAAGCTGCCTTTCCACTTGTAGGAATCAGGGTCCCATTATCTGCAGATTTGTGTACATTAACATGGTTTTTATCTTTGCCCCATGGACACAGTAAGTTCATGAGACTAAAGGAGAGCATCACTATGTCTTTTTAACACAGCCCCATATCAACTTTCTTCTACTCCCAAATTCTTTAATACCATCAAGGTGAATAATTCTTCGATCACAAAGAGATAAAAACCTGCATGACTCTGGGTGCCTGGGTGGCTCAGTTGGTTAAGCATCCAACTCTTGATTTCAGTTCAGGTCATGATCTCAGGGTTGTGGGATTGAGCCCCACATCAGGCTCTGCACTCAGAAAAAGTCTGCCTGAGATTCTCTCCCTCTCCCTGCATGCTCTCTCTAAAATAAATAAATCTTAAAAACAAAACAAAACCCTGCATGACTCAATCTACTGGGCTTGCTCTCACCGGCTTGTCAGAACAATGGGAATAGCAGGGCCAAGGCTCTATCACAATGGCTTCCAATATCAGTTAGCCAGATGACTCGATGGGAGAGGGTGACTGTTCCCATTTATCTTACACTTGTTAACACCAGGAAGTCGCTTTATCGATAAAATAATTTTCTCCTTTGCTTTTCCCTTTCTTACTATGATGGCTCTCATCTTCATCCTCTTCATCTCGGTATTGAATGGGACCTTCTGAATCAGAGTCACTCTCCTTCTCTTCCTCTTCCTCCTGCAGACACTGTGGTAGTTTAGGAACAACTGAGGTAGATGCCGCATCTTCAATGAATGCAGATGGGTGGCTTTGTTCCTCTTCTTCATCGTCTGGACTAACAAATTAACATAATTATATTTTTCTTTCAGAAACATAACGGGTAACTGATTTGCAAGGCAAAGTACTGAATAACTATGGAAAATTCCACGAGTGAAATAATTTATCCCTTCCCTTAACTTCAGGCATCTTGCTAAGAAACTTTTTAGCAGCTATTAATCTAAAAGGCTCTGGGCTCAAATCCTAGCTCTACAACTTATTCACTAGCTTGTAAGTTAAACTTTTCTGTAAATGTGAATGATACCTACCTGCTAGGCTTGTTGTGAGAATAAAACAGATAAATTCTAGAATGTACTAGTGTTTGGCACACAGGCCCCTGATGATCTACATGTGAGATGCAAGTTTGTTTTGGGCTGATTAAATGAGAAGACCACAAGGCATCTAACACTGTGCCTGGCTTATGGAAGATATGCAATAAAGGTATTTAGCCCACTTATTTCCCTTGGTTTAACAATGGGGTAGGACAAAATGATAATCTAATCCAAGAAGCAAAGAGAGATGACAATTAACTTCCTCCCTTTCCACTCTGGAGGCATAAAACTAGTCCATCTGGAACTCCTAAACTGTCTCTTTCCAGGATGTAAAAAAAATTATACCGGCAAGTACAAAGATCATGGCCAAGCAACTAAGCAGTATGTGGCAACAACTCTCCAACTTGCGAATCTCTGGCAAATCTCCAACTTGCCAAAAAGTGTTAACCTTCAGTCACAATTTGTTAGAATTTTAAAAAGGCAAGGTGTTCGGGACAGATGAGGGTGAGAACAAGCTGGCCAGTTCCAGTTTATGAGGCTGGAACACTGAGCTATCTTTCAGAGCTCCCTTCTTTTTCTCTAGACTGCTCTCTGTCCCTCTCTACCACGTTTAGGTGCCAGGCACCATGCTTTCAGATTTGTCTAATTTCATCCTCACGAGTCTATGAGGTAGGTATCATTCCTGTTTATGGATCTGACAACTCAAGTGCAGGAAGGTTAAGTAACATACACTACTGCAAGCTAGGAAGAGGTAGAGCCGGGATTTGAACCCACAGTTATCTTACTCCAAGGTTAATGCTCTTAAGCACCATGTTCCACTGACTCTCTTGTATCATATACAAAAAATAGAGTAGTTTTAATTATCAAGTACAAAGGCTTGTGACTGCTACGGAAACAGTGTTATAAAAATCAGGAAGGTAAATAAAGTCCAACTTCTAGAACATGTCTTTATTTGTTGAGTGTTCTTACTTTAAATTTAACCACATTTTCTTTTTATCAATAATTTTTCCCAAGAAAGGCTACCTAGAATACAGAAGAGGAAACAAAAGGCAAGCTTTAAAGGCACTCACACTTTCAGCATTTCAATAGTGATGGGAAGTGACCTGGTCCGACCCAGGGTGCTGCTGTCCTCAGAAAAGTTGTCACTGTACTCAAAAAGCAAGGAATGAGCTCTATGAGAGCCCTCCAAGGGAGGAGTCATGGGAAGTGGGCTGGTCAGGGCCTGCTGGATTCGGATATGCAGTGGGAGTGGAGGCAGCCTACAGGGTACATGCGGCTCCCCAAAGCTGTGGTCCAACATCCTCCTGGGTACTTCCTTTTTCTGATCTTCCTGCTGGGATACCTCCTGGGGCAGGTTTAAGGAAGGTGGGAACTCCTTTTCTGGCACAACTTGAAAAGTCTTAGCAAGGAATGGAGGGGACCGCGGGGGTTCAGGAGGTATATGAGTAGGCAGTGGGGGGGATGGAGAGGGAGGTGGGATCATTAACAGTGGTTCAGAGCCCACAGAGCATGTGTTCCTTTCTCTCTGATCACTCGGTGCTTTTGTGGTGGTGGCAGCGGCAGACTCCGAGGCGGGTACCAAGGTTGATGGAATGCCTCTCTTAGGTGGTAAGGGTGGGGACGGTTTTGATAATGTACTGCTGTTTATTGCTTGGGACAGTTCAGCTGGAAAAGAGAGAACAACAACTCAGCTTAAGATGGCTTCACAATGCTCGCCCAGGGCCTAGATTAGAACTGAGCTTACTCTCAGCTTTCAGGCAAATTATACCATTTCATGGCTTTGCCACAACCTAGGTATCTCCTGTTAAAACAAAATTTATATTTAAGTATCTAGAAAGCCTAATAAATGTACAGACATATTGGAAGACCACTACCTTAATACCCTGATGAGAAATTTCTTACTTCTTTGCTCTAATACATGACTTTTAATGACTTGAGGTGGATAAAGTTAATATGATGAGATAAAAAATGTGGATAGTAAGTTCTTTCATCTAACAGAATTCCATTAAAAATTTTAACCATGCAGGTAGCAGTAAAAAAAACCCAAATACTATCAGGCATTGTTACCATAACTTGACAAATAATGACATCTAGATATCCCAGCTCTGCATTATAAAATTATCAATAATGGCATCCTGAATTTTTATAGCAAATGCAAAGGCCTTTGAGGAAATCAAAGTGCTTTGCTATCCCTGACTTTGGATTCTCCTTATAGAGGAGGTTATCTTTACCAATTTACAGAAGGAAAAACTGAGGCCACAGAAGTTAGATAACCTGCCCAATATCATACTACATGTAGGCAAGGGCTGGGCTAGTCCCAGGTCTCATTATCAGACTCCATCCTCTAGATCCCACTGTCTTCGTGATTTTTATGAGTGTCCATACTTCTTATCCTTTATACCCAAACCCCCATCACCACTCCCCACTACACTATGGGCTCCTTGGTGACAGGAGCAACCTGTCTCCAACAGTATATCCATAGAGGTGGGCACAGTGCTTGGCACATGGTGGATCCCCAACACATGCTTATTAGATGAGAGGCCCCCACCCTGTATCACACCAGTATATATCCCTATGTGATCCCCCCAAGCCCAAAATGACTCAGGTTTTGAATCAGCAAAGTTGCTTTGGAGGGCTCCAAATGGCCTTTAAGAAGTAGATCACCACATCATGCATGGGCTAATCTTGCAAAATAATTAAATAGTAGGTCTCTTGATCACCAACCTCTCTCTCTCTACTCAAAGCCCTAATTTTGGTTACACCACTTGTTTTCAAATGGCTCCCATATATATATGTATTTTTAAAGATTTTATTTATTTATTTGACAGAGACAGCGAGAGAGGGAACACAAGCAGGGGGAGCAGGAGAGGAAGAAGCAGGCCTCCCGCAGAGCAGGGAACCCGATGCGGGGCTCAATCCCAGGACCCTGGGATCATGACCTGAGCCGAAGGCAGACACTTAATGACTGAGCCACCCAGGCGCCCCATGGCTCCCATATGTTTTAGAAGTCCAATGCGCTATCCATTGCGCAACGGAGCCACCTTCCCATATGTTTTATCTAGAGAGCAACACCTCAAGGTCCCCTGAAATAAAAATTTATTTGCCCTAAGTCCCATTCCACTGGTAGTATTCAAAGTAAAAGCTAGCTAATTTGATAATGTTTTAATGTCATTAATCATAATTTTTTTTCAGTTTTAACTACATCTACATTTTATTAGGCATAGTTACTTATTCATAGGCAAATTATGAAAACAATTTAAATATGTAAGATAATCATAATTTAGTAACTGTGAATAAATTAGCTCTATATTACTTTAAAAATCATTTAGTTTTTTATATATTATAAATGCCCAAGTACACTTTTATTTTTTTATTTTTTAAAGATTTTATTTATTTGATAGAGAGAGAGACAGAGAGAGCAGGAACACAAGCAGGGGGAGCAGGAGAGGGAGAAGCAGGCCTCCCGCAGAGCAGGGAGCCCGATGCGGGGCTCGATCCCAGGACCCTGAGATCATGACCTGAGCCGAAGGCAGATGCTTAACGACTGAGCCACCCAGGTGCCCCTCAAGTACACTTTTAAAAAAACATAATTCCAGTATAATTAACACACAGTATTATACATCTTAGGTAAATTTTTAAAAGACTTTCTGGAAAAACATCGCATACACATACAAAAAAAGATTAAAAAATATTAATTTTAACCTCAATGAGATTTTTTGGGTAGACTGGACTTTTGCTGCCTCTCTAAAAATGGCCGTTAGATAGTCCATTTACCACAAAACCTACACCCGACAAGACCAAATTTGAGTATTTTATTGTTTGAATTGATAAGGTAAATTATCTTTGGTAATTTAAGGAAAACATATACCTCAAGATGTTAAAGAAATGAACTCTGTTACATCTACTCTCACAATGGCTCTTGGTTGTAGTTCTGTGGGCAAGATGCTGGAATGTTCATTGGAGGGGTTACAAATTCCCTTCACCTGTTCATGGTAGTCCTTCCTTTGTCCTAATACTCCTAATTAGTCCTTAGTCCTAATACTGTTATGCCCATTAGTAGACACAGCAATGTTTACAGCGGTGGTTTCTAAATATATGGATCTCATGGACCAATAAATTAAAATGAAATTCTCAACTAACCTCACGTTGTCAGTTTTTAATACTGCCAAGTAAGACTTGATATCAAGTGAGCCATTTGTGAAGATAATCCTTTCATGAAAGAAATGGATTTTTATCATCAACGAATTAGGAAGGTCATAATTTCAGAATAAAGAACAGTCCTTTAAATCAAATCTAGTTAACCTGAATAAAAACTCTGTGAACCATCCTATTTTTCTCCTGCTGAGGACCACTCAAGACTGATGTTGATCCCTCAGTCACAAGGCCTATTGCTCTGGGCTATTCACCTTACACCAGAGAACAGTACACATATTAGTATTTTTTATATTGTCTTATCCTGCAAAGGGTAGACTATTACTGGTTTAGAGCAATGGTTCTCAATGTGTGGTCCCCATATATGCAGCATCAGTATCATCTGGGAACTTTTTAGAAATGCAAATTCTCAGGCCCACCCTAGACTTACTGATTCAGAAACTCACAGGGCAGGGCCCAGCAATCTGTGTTTCAACAAGCCCTCCAGGTGATCGTGATGAAAACCTGTCTAGAGAGCAGTTTGAGAATACAGGTGTAGAGGACAGAGGTCTGGGCTCAAGAGTTAAAAAGCCCAGGTTTGGTTTCTATCACTCATTAACTGCAACCTTGACTGAGTCACAACTTCGTCATGTTATAATTGCTCTAACTATATAATAGATAAAATCGCTTTCCTACTTCACAAGGAGGTTCTGAAAGCAAGTATATGAAAGCTGCTTGGGTTCCTCAGAGACGTCACAGCACTGTCCATCTGGGGTGGTGATAACAGTAATAACCTCCATCCTTTTTTTAATCAAACTACTCCAACCTGCCATACTCACAATATATTCTAAGCCTGTTTTTCAGGGTTCTTGTCACCCCACACAAGATGGGGGTATTAGCTGTTTAATGAGCATACTTTATTTCTCCCTTCAATCATGAACAAGAACTTCAAGCTGTACTAAGCCTAGTACCATTTTTCCTGAAAAACTACCTTCTTCCTCTCCTCCCTTTCTCGAAAATTCCCCTAAGAAGGTATACATGTATGTAAAGAAAAGCTGACCTAAATAGGACTTCAGGTAAATACAAAAAAATTTACTAAACTGATAAAAATGTACTGGTTATCTTCCCGGTTTTCTTTCTTCTACCACTTATTTTATTAAGAGTAGCATTCTTAAGTCTCCCAAGAGAAAACATGACTTTATCAGGACACTTTGAATAATATCTTTTGCAGTTTCCAGGAAGGTATTGTGCCAGACACTGAATCACAAGTTACACTGGCATCTATCCAATCACCTTTTTATCTGTTGGGCTCATGCTGAAGGTAGGCACTGGCGGTTTAAAGTAGGTTAAAATAACCCCCTTTCTCCATGCAGGTCAGAATTGCTGTAGTCTTCACATGTCCAGTCCCCCAACTATAAACAGTATTTCAGAAACACTGTTTTAAAAAAACAGATATTAATGCCCCCCCCTCACCAAACTGGAACTTAATTTTATTGCTATCTGATCCTAGTCCGTTTTCATTCATGACTATATGCCTCATTTTTAAGACTTTTCTCTATATTGAGGGCATTCAGAGGGACAGGACATGGAGAACTCTCATGGACCAAATCAATATACCAATTATCCAATCAAACAACCATCCAAAATCAAACCCAAAGCAATGGAAACCTAATGACGTACTTACCAATGACAGGGTTGCTATTTCTGTGAGCTGGTTTAGGGGGAGGGACAGGCGGCTGCTTGGCAGGGACCGCGGGAGTGAGGCTTGGGGCAGTGGTAGTGTTTGCGCCAGCCAGAGCAGTGGGCAGAGTCCTGGGTGCGGGGGACGGGGGGACGGAGGAACCAACAGTCTTTGCTGGGTTCACAGCAGCAGGGGCGGCAGCGGGTGCTGTGGTGGGGGCGGCAGCGGGGGCCGAGGAGATGGGCCATGCCGTGCTGCCAGAGGAAGCGGCAGCCTTTGCTTGCCCTTCATTTGCTTCGTGAGAAGAGGACAAGGGTCTTTTAGGGGGAAGCAAAGGCTGTCTGGGTGCGTTCTCAGGAACGGACTCTGCTTCGGAATTAGGCTGGCTTCCAGTTGAGCCTGCGTATTAACAGATGTGATTTAAAAGGGAAGAAAGAGTCACAAGATAGACTGAAAAAGCTAACACATCTACGGGCTTATGGTCAACTTCATCCCTTATTTAACTTTCAGATGAGTTTACAGGCAGTTTCCCAACCTCAACATCCTTAAGGTATATGACACTTTCTCAGTCCCAATCTCAAACTAAGAGAGGCCTGTGTGGTAGTGATTCTTTACACCAGAGCCAGGCAACCGGAGGAGACACAGAATCCCATGGGTGGAGGAGGAGGAACGTGTAGCTTGAAAAACTCCTACAGGTGTCTGATGCTTAACATCTTCTTCCGTCCTTGAGAATCACAACTTCGGTCTTTTGTGAATATAAGAATGAGAAGGGGAAAATTCCACTTCAAGCTGCAAATAGTTAAGGAATTGCTAGAGGAGAACAGAATTCCCCCTGGCTCTAGCTAAACTTTGAGTTAAATGAGAATGACTGATCCATGGCTCTTACACTCACGAACCCAGGGGTTCTTACCTAGTCGCTTCTTTGGGTCCTCTTCTGGAACAGGATTGCTAAGACTTGCTATTCTTCCTGACTCTTCTCCTGCTTGCTCTGGACTAGAAGATCTGGTACTCCCTATGGGAGTGGTATGGCCATTTTTTAACATGGCATGGCTCAACTTCCCTGGATCCTCACCACCTGCAATGTCAAAGAGGAGAGAGCAAACTGATGGACTGGTCTGGTCAGACAGAGAGGAAAGCTGGTAATTTATAACCTTTCTTATCCCTTTCTCCCCCTTTCTGTTTGAGCTGCTGATTCAGATCTAGATTATTTGGATCTTTATAGTAGTAATAGAAATAAGTAATTCCTTTTGCCAATAAACATCTGATTGCCTATTATGTGCCAGGTGTCTTGCTACATAAATAAGACCGACTTAATGTAATATAATGTACCTAAGTAACTAATGCTAACTATCCAGAGCTGTAACAAATGGAGTGTTGGGGTAGGAATGAAGAAGAAACAATTCTCTTGGGCTGGGAATGAGGTTGGGAAAGCTTCACGCAGAGTGGTAGCTAAACTGGGTCTTCAAGGAGTAGGAGCCGATCATACTGCTGCCAAGATGAGGAAAGACAGGAAGGAGCAGCCTGGATGAAGGGATGAAATCAGCTGGCATGTCTGGGAACTGGCATCTAGTTTGTCTGGCAGGAAAACAGATGCATATAAGAAATAGTCATGGACAGGACTGGAAAGGCCAGCCAGAACCCAGCTATGAAGGACACCAAATGCCACGTAAAAGAGCCTGGGCCAAATCCTGTAGGCAACGGGAAGCCGAAGAATTAAAGGAGGAGAGAGGGGCGCCTGGGTGGCTCAGTCGGTTAAGCGACTGCCTTCGGCTCAGGTCATGATCCTGGAGTCCCGGGATCGAGTCCCGCATCGGGCTCCCTGCTGAGCAAAGAGTCTCCTTCTCCCTCTGACCCTCCCCCCCTCATGCTCTCTCTCAAATAAATAAATAAAATATTTTAAAGGAGGAGAGAGATCTGACCTGATCTGTCTTTTCGAAGGTTAAATGTGAGAGCTGAGAGGAGGGTGGGTCAGGCAGGGACTGGAACAGGAAAGCTACTAATAAGCTCCTGCTGGAATAAAGGTGAGACACAGCAGAGGGTGCCAGGCATTAGGAATGCAGAGCAAGGGGAAGAACTGGTGGACTGATCAGAGCTCAACGTGACAGAAAGACACATGCCTACAAACTAAACTGCAGGAATGATCCCTAGGCTGGAGGCTTTGGGAGGACCACTCATCACTGTGGAGACTTCAGGTAAGATTCCTGCACGGAACAGTTCGATAAACGTGCCCTACTGAGCTTCCCTGGACTCCCTTGGAGAAGAGAACTGAGAAAACTGGGGTTAGAGACTTAAACTCCGTCTCACCTCCTAGTGTCATGGGGACTGGAAATGGTTGCTCTCTACACAGTTTCCACTTTGGCTTTCCACAGTGAGATCCTCTGGGTAGTATCATTTTAGTGACTCTTGAGTTAGTCCTTCAAGTTCTCAGAGACAAGTCTCCCTCACCCCAACCTCCTACTAGATTAGGCAGGATCATTCTCCATGCAGTGTCAATGAGAGGTGGAGCTTGGCCTGAAAGTTCTAAAGAGTCTATGGCAAATGAGCACTAAATGAAAATGCATTTCTCAAGCTAAAGCATTCTGATAACTATTTTAAAATAGGGAAGGTAGCAAGATGACAACTATGCAAATGTAGTAAGTTATCACTTATGTTAATATAGCCCATCCTTAACAAAAACAGGACCTTTTAGAATATAAACCAAGGAATCACTTCAAAGCCAAAAAAGACTACTACTTTTGAAAACCATACAGTGAAAGGTTAAGACACATTATTAACTGGTTTCTACTCAGCATGCACTAGGAAAATACTGCAGAAGTGATCAGTTATCCGGGGTCCTGGGTGGCTCAGTTGGTTAAGCATCTGAATCTGATCTTGGCTCAGGTCATGATCTCAGGGTTGTAAGACTGAGCCCCTCATGGGGCTCACACTCAGCGCAGAGTCTGTTTGTCCCTCTCCCTCCCTCTTTGCCCCTCCCCCTGCTTGCCTGCTTGCACACACTCTCTCTAAAATAAATAAACTAATAAAAATTATTTTTTTAAGATTTTATTTATTTATTTGACAGAGAGAGGCACAGTGAGAGAGGGAACACAAGCAGGGGGAGTGGGAGAGGGAAAAGCAGGCTTTCCGCTGAGCAGGGAGCCCGATGCAGGGCTCAAGCCCAGGACCTGGAATCATGACCTAAGCCAAAGGCAGACACTTAATGACTGAGCCACCCAGGTGCCCCCAAATAAAATCTTAAAAAGAAAAAGTGATCAGTTATTTCTCAAGCTATTTACTCAGGATTGTCTACTTTCAAGTAAACTTTCTTTTTAAAAATTTTTATTTATTTATTTTTAAAAGACTGTATTTATTTATTTGAGAGACAGAGAGTGAGGGAGAGAGCATGAGATGGAGGAGGGTCAGGAGGAGAAGCAGACTCCCCGCTGATCGGGGAGCCCGAGGTGGGACTCGATCCTGGGACTCTGGGATCATGACCTGAGCTGAAGGCAGTCGCTTAACTGACTGAGCCACTGAGGCGCCCCTCTTTCAAAAATATTTTAAGATTTGTTTTAAATTCAAGTATAATAAAATACAGTGTTAGTTTCATGTGTACAATATAATGATTCAACGATTCTGTACACTACTCAGTGCTCATCATGGTAAGTGTGCTCTTAACCCCTTCACCTATTTGACCCCCCACCCCCACTTACCATGTGGCAACTGCCAGTTCTCTATATTTCAGAGTCTGGTTTTTTGTGTATCTTTTTTCTCTGTTCACATGTTTTATTTCTTAAATTCCACATATGACTGAAATCATATGGTATGTCTTTTTCTAACTTATTTCATTTAGGATTATCCTCTAGATTCATCCCTGTTGTTACAAATGGCAAGATTTCATTCTTTTTTTTATGGCTGAGTAATATTCCATAATGTGTGTGTGTATACACACACACACACACACACACTGTCTTTATCCATTCATCTATGGATGGACACTTGGGTTGCTTCCATATCCTGGCTATTGTAAATAATGCTATAATTAATTTTTTGAGGAATGTTCATAATTGTTTTCCACAGTGGTTGTATCAGCTTGCATTCCCACCAACAGTGTATGAGGGTTCTTTTTCCTCCACATCCTCACCAACACCTGTTATTTCTTGTTTTTTATTTTAGCCATTCTGACAGATGTGAGGTGTGCATTTCACTGATGACGAGTGATGCTGAACATCTTTTCATGTATCTGTTGGCCATCTGTTTGTCTTCTTTGGAAGAATGTCTATTCATGTCTTTTGCTCTTCCCCTTTTTAAAAAGATTTTATTTATTTATTTGAGAGAGAGAGAATGAGGAGGGGGAGACGGAGAGGGATAAGCTCAGCAGGGAGTCTGACATAGGGCTCAATCCCCGGACCCTGAGAATACGACTTGAGCTGAAGGCAGGCACTTAACCGACTGAGCCACTCAGGTGCCCCCTTCTGCCCAATTTTTTAACTGGGTTATTTGTTTTTTTGGTGTTGAGTTGTGTAACTTCCTTATATATTTTAGATACTAACCCTTTATCAAATATATCATTTGCAAATATCTTCTCCCACTTGGTAAGTTATCTTTTTGTTTTATTGTTTCCTTTGCTGTGCAAAAGTTTTTTATTTTGATGTAGTCCCAATAGTGTAATTTTACTTTTGTTTCCCTTGCCAAAGGAGGCATACTTAGAAAAATGTTTCTATGGCTGATGCTAAAGAGCTTACTGCCTATGTTTCCTTCTAGGAATTTTATTTATTATTTTTTAAAGATTTTATTTATTTGAAAGAGAGAGTGAGAGAGAGAGCCCAAAAGGGGGTAGGGTCAGAGGGAGAAGCAGACTCCCCGCTGAACAGGGAGCCCGATGCGGGACTTGATCCTGAGACTCCGGGATCATGACCTGAGCTGAAGGCAGTTGCTTAACCAACCGAGCCACCCAGGCGCCCCTCCTTCTAGGAATTTTATGACAGGTCTTACATTTAGGTCTTTAATCCATTTTGAGTTTATTTTTGTGTGTGGCATAAGGAAGTGGTCCAGTTCCATTCTTGTCAATGGAGCTGTCCAGCTTTCCCAGCACGATTTGAAGAAACCATTTTTCCCTCATTGTATATCCTTGCCTCCTTTGCCATAGATTAATTGACCATATAATCGTGGGTTTACTTCTGGGCTCTCTATTCTGTTCCACTGATCTTTGTGTCTATTAAAATTTCTTATATTTGATGCAAAGGTTTTCTATAATGCTAACAGAGTGGAGTATAAGCAGTATCCAGCTTTAACATCTATGAATGTTCATGCCCCATCTCAAAAAACATATTAAATATTTTATAATATAGTCAACTTAGAACCATATATATTTAAGCCAAAAGCTGTGTCTGAGTATGAAAAAAACTTCAAAGTTCAATGTTGCCTTTGGCCTAAACTGGAGATTAGAAGCCAGGCCCCAGGGTCTATTTCAGAGTTTTTTCCTAGAGTAAAGCTTTCAGTCAGTTCTCTGGTTGGCAGAGTAGTATCTTGCCAAATGGCTACAACTCATTTATCATTTGGGCCTTTGGGCTTGTAGGCTAAAAACAACTTGGATCAAGAGCCAATAGGAAGCATAGGGCGAAAGAAACGGAATGAAGGTGAAAAACAACAAACAAGTAATGTATGGGGTTTGTGAGTGAGTGAGCAAGAAAGGTGAGGCAGAAGAGGGCATGGGGTAAGAAATGGCTATTATTAAAAAAAAAAAAGCAAGGTTCAAAGGTGCTACAACAGAGGTGTTACAATTATAGTTAACCACCTAAAATACCTACAAGATTTTATGTCCAAATGTAAAATTCAAAGTCTCATTAAAAAACTGGTTATCCATGCTCATACCTAACCATGTAGAAAATTCAAAAAATAGAAAAAAAAAAGCCCCCTGTATTCCCATCCTAACAACCAATGCTAATTAATATTTTAGTAATTTTTCTTGTTTGTTTCTTTGTTAAATGTTTATATAGTTGAGAGGTGCCTGGGTAGCTCAGTTAGTTAAGCGTCCGACTCTTGATTTCAGCTCAGGTCATGATCTCAAGGTTGTGAGATGGAGCCCCACGACAGGGT